ACTAATATGATAAGTAAATGTATTTGCAAGCAATGAAATTTAAATTTATATTAGTACAAGCATAATGCATTATGCAAATGTATTCACTGTCTGGTAAATAAATACATTTACTAAGAATCATTGATGTTTTTATGTTTAGTTGATACTTCTATTGAAATCTTACATAAATACATGTATTGATTAGTAAGCGTGTACATTTACCGAATTTTATCAATTCATTTTTGTATTATTTTCAATTTTAAACCTAAGTACATATTCATCATTCATTGTTCTGATGATAATTATTGTTATATAAGCAAAAAATCGGGACACGTGTTATGCGATTGTTTTAAAACATGTGTTCATTCCCGTGGTAATGATTTTGATTGTTTACACTTGTTACATCATTATTTAATCAATGAAGCGTATGATTCAATGTCACAAATGTAAACAAAATTGCAATATTTACATTGAATGAAATTGCTGTAATATGTGCGAAGTAATATTGTAATTGATAAAGACAAATATCAAGCACCGGATATAAAAATCAATGTTTATCGTAATAGAGGTATTTATTATTTTATTTACAATAATTGGAACATATTTTACAAGTAACAGTTGTGAAAATATAAATCACTACCACTGCAGTGTGCTTGGTATTCGTACATGCCTTTTTAATTAATTTTCATTAATGAATGTTGACATAAGAAACATAGGTTTGTAATTCCTGCAACTATATTATTTTTAATTATCCAATACAAAATGTTTCAATATTTTAACACTTCATAATGCAATTAACATTGAATGTTTGAAATGTTTCAGCCTGTTTCATCTAAAACTAAAAGTTTTGTTTCTATATTCTCCCTTTTCTTCCAATATGCCATGCTGCTTTGAATGTTTTTTTCAGACATATGTTCTTACTAAAGTAGAAGTTATTTTATAGATAAAATAAGAGAAACATTTACCTTGAACGTTTTAATGTACATTAAAAAATAATAAGTTATTATTTTGCATGATTAAATATTTATAATTTATCATTTAGATTGCACTATAATATGTTAGAGATTGAAAATTCAATTAACTTTATCATATTATCAATTTTTCCCATTTTTGTCAGTTTTTAGAATACAGGTAATGTTTTAATTGTTCGTGTAACAATTACTATTAAAGAAGTAATATAAGAAACTGACAGATTGTTCATTTTTGTTACAGTTTTTCCTAATGTGCCGCCTGCACCAGGAATGCCCTGTAAGGGAGAAGACAGTGAGTTTCCGTCGCAAAATAATCAAATATTTCAATACGTTTTCGTCCAATAATTCTCACTATTGTATACTATACTAGCCAGCGAGTTGTTCAATTAACGACAAGTTTATATATGAATAGTCTGGCTATGTTTGATTCATGTTCAGAAGATTATGATTAATTTTTTTCGTTTCTTAAGTTTTCATGAAACATCAGCGATTTTAATGCGCTTATTTTAATTTTCATCATTTATACTTTGTGTATATGCTTATTGCATCGAATCTTCGCAGTACATTGATTATGAAAATAATATTATGTAAACTAAAGAAAAAAGGAAGAAGTAAATTCCAAGACTTCAAGATTAGTCATTTTATATATCTATTATATATACAACGTTTCAAACGTGAAATCGTATACTGTACTATTTTTAATATATTTTAAAATATCATGTAGGATGAAACTTTGTTATGTTCTTTTTGAAATCGTGTTTTTTGGGTATCATATAAATTAAGGATCAATTGTGTATAGTGAAAATACGATAGAATTAAGACTATTTTCTATTTTAAATATCGCGGGTTTGGAGATAATCTCATCGTGTTTACAAATTTCCTTTGCCCTTGTCAAGATTATTCGATAGTTTTATACGGTACAAAGTATGGAAGGACTTGGCCCGGTCGCAGTTTTACTGCAGATTTTTCAGTGCGGTATTTCAACAAGAGTATACTTATATAGATCCTCCGAGACACGTTATGAAACACGTTTTTCATTTTAATTAGTTTCAAAAGTAACATTAAATAATGGGTTGAAATGCAGTAGTTACATTTACTGTATTGATTCTATTAGAGTTACACAATGTGCTCAGAAAAGATTGTGAGAGGGAGAAAGTGGAGAGAGGGCCCCTATAGCTTAGAAGTTTTTTTTCTTATTTTGAAATTTGTCACTCTTACAATTCAAAAAGAAATGATTATTGGACCCAAGTTTATGAAACACGTGTGTGCTTTTTTTTATGAACATGAGCACTACATTATCTCAGAATTTGACGCAATCGTTTCTGAATATTCTCCATAGTCTGGAAGAAGTAAAGACGACAGAAGCAAATTTGAAGACCGATTCTTCTTTTCTCTCGTGATATTTATGTTTTTTCATTTTCCAAAGGAAGCATCTACAGACGCGGCGCACGTAGATGGAGGAAGCTGTACCGAGTGAATGGTCATATATTTCAAGCGAAACGTTTCAATCGGGTAAGCATCATTTCATTCAATTACTGCTTTAATTACTTTCCCTCGTTTTTGCTCATCATTTTGATATAATTTTACACATTTACGCATGGCACCATACCCATCCACCACATCACATGTCCATAGAATATTTCCAGGTTTGACAGATGCATTCCTGATCAGTGGAACTTGCTGGCTAGTGAACTTGGATGAACTTTCTCTGTTCATTTAATAAAATGTTACATTTAATATTGATCTTTTATTCCCTTGAATTCTTGAGAATGAAACTGAATTAGAAATGGTATAAGTAAATGATTAGATTACAGAAATAATTCTTTATAAACAATTTTCTGATTATATTGTATTCTTAAATGTAAATAGAATATTTGTTAATCAGCTGAGGCTTGTGATTTCTAAATAAATGAAATAAACTATTTTCATATCAACAATACATAATTCTCTACACTTTCATTCTCAGGAATTCATCCAATACCTAAAGTGCTCTTTTGTAGGAACCATATGGACATAGATTATCACAAGCTTTCTGTTTAATTTTCACAGCGAGCGTTTTGCGCATTCTGCCAGGATCGAATTTGGGGACTAGGTCGGCAGGGGTTCAAGTGCATCCAGTGCAAGCTACTGGTTCACAAGAAATGTCACAAACTAGTTCGCAAACCATGCTTGAGTGTCCACCAACTTCAACAACAGCAAATGCCAAGCACAGAGTCGCAAACGATCGACAGGAACGGCGATCAACAACAGCTTGATTCTGTACAATGCAGCCCAGTAGCTCATCTAGAGGATGAGATTTCAGAGTCGCCGATCATCGAGGAGCATTCACGCAATCGTAAGAGTATTTGGAAGTTTATTTGGAAATTCAAACTATGGTTTTGTAGTTTGAAAGAATAAAAACCTTATAAAGAAGAGATCCTTGAGCTCAGAAATTATTAAACTTTAAATATACGTATGTAAGATGTTACTTATTGTATAATGTTATTTTTGAAAAATTTATGGTCTTGAATGAAGGTACAAATTTCCTTACTTATAAATCATTAGAAACAAACAATAAGTGTAACTAAATGTAACTTACATTCTGTTCGTAGGAACCGGAAGTGTAGAAAGGGAGGAATTGCCGTTGGATACGTTAAATGATGCGGATAATTCAAATGATATGCAAAGGCAATACTCATTAAACGATTTCGAACTGATTAGGGTAATCGGTCGTGGTTCCTACGCGAAAGTTTTGATGGTAGAATTGAAGCGTACAAAAAGGATTTACGCGATGAAAGTGATCAAGAAAGCTCTAGTGACAGACGACGAAGATATAGATTGGGTTCAAACAGAGAAACACGTATTCGAAACCGCTTCGAATCATCCTTTCCTTGTAGGACTTCACTCATGCTTTCAAACACCTTCTCGTCTGTTCTTCGTTATTGAATTTGTACGCGGCGGTGATCTTATGTTCCATATGCAAAGGCAACGCCGTCTTCCAGAGGAGCATGCTCGATTTTATGCAGCAGAAATTAGCCTCGCCTTAAATTTTTTACACGAGAAAGGTGAGGAGAAATATTGATCCTGAAATCCACAATGTTTCTGTGCTGTTGATAAATATCTTAACGAAGTTTGAAATATTTGATATGCAGGTATCATATACAGAGATTTAAAATTAGACAATGTGTTACTTGATCACGAGGGACACGTTAAACTGACTGATTATGGAATGTGCAAAGAAGGTGTACGAGAGGGTGATACAACAGCCACGTTTTGTGGCACTCCAAATTATATTGCACCTGAAATATTACGGGGTGAAGATTACAGTTTCTCTGTAGATTGGTGGGCACTTGGAGTACTTTTGTATGAAATGCTTGCAGGTCGCAGTCCGTTTGATATTGCGGGCGCGTTAGAAAATCCAGACCAGAACACTGAAGATTATCTATTTCAAGTTATTTTACAGAAAACAATTCGTATACCAAGATCGTTGTCAGTTAAAGCAGCTTGCGTACTTAAAGGCTTCCTTTGCAAAGATCCTGCTGAAAGATTAGGCTGTGGAAAAAGGCCGACAGCTTTTCTTGATATTGTTTCCCATCCGTTCTTCAAAGCAATTGATTGGGAAATGGTAATTATCGCAATCTTACACTTGCTGAAAATTGTAAAAAATGAAAATAAGAAATTTATCCCAAGATTTTAATTGTATTCAGAATGCATTCCATATAAATTAAGTTTATAATTAAATTTTTAGTTGGAGCAAAAACAAGTAACACCACCTTACAAGCCACGTTTAGATTCTGATCGTGACCTGGCCAATTTCCCACCAGAATTTACAGACGAACCAGTTCATCTGACACCGGATGATCCGTAAGTATTAACAAACCACAAACCAGTATGGAATTTGAAGAAAATTAATGAACAAGTTTAATAATTGTGTAAACAAATATTTTACAGGAGGGTAATTGATAAGATTGATCAAAGTGAATTCGAAGGTTTCGAATACGTGAACCCGCTACTGATGTCTCTGGAAGACTGCGTGTGACAAGAACCGCTGGTTATAGTGCAACGATACAATCAAAGTCAACAACAGTTGCAGCCGTGCTACATGTACGAATTGCAAGACAAGCTTGCGAAGCTTCGAATCGATCCCCTATTGAACATCAGCTCAAGAAATCGAGGTTATCACAACAATGTTTTTTTAATGACATACTCCGAAGAGAATGAGAACGACAATAATTATAACGAGTATCGGTTATCACCACCTTTTCCATTCCGATACGAAAGTCCGATATGCTCCAGTTCTCTAAGTATCACAGATGTTACGTACGGCTCTAGCAATAACAATGAAATCATTAGTAACTATGATGAACAGAATTACGATGATGAGGAAGATGAGAGCCCAAAGAAAGGGCTCTTGAAGCAAATGTTTTGCCTTCCATTAAATTAAGCTAATTAAGGGCTTGTTTAATATTACAACATTGCCTCTAATCAATAGTTAATATAAATTTTGTAGGTTGCAAGAGATTTGAAATCTATAACGAAGTTAAAGTTTACAGAATCCTTGTATTAAGTATTGGAAAATGAAAAGTATTTAATTTGCGCTATAATAATTATATATGATCGTGTTGATTCTTCTTTCACATGGTGCTGCAACTTAAACGTATTAATGGGTATTATTTTCAGCTATTTTTAGAAAGAAAAATGAATTCAAACGGAAAATGTACCTGACTGCTTCGATTAATCTCTTAGATAAATATGCCATTCCGTTGTGCAGTCGTTCTATTAATATTTAATGAGCATTGTACGATCTATATCGCTTGCATGAACGTATTCACTAAAAAAAAGTAATAGCAACAAACTATTTCTAACAAACTAACACCTATTTAAGAAAACTGCTGTATATTATAGATTAATTACGTTTGAAGAGAAAATATAGCGAACGTAAGTATAACATTTCTAAAGAAACTAATTTTTTTTTTCTATATTTTCCTTTTTTTTATACATATATATATGAACAGTTTGGAGCTATGATATATATACTAGTATACACTTTTAAAAGACAAATGTTGATCATGATGTATATTAAAAAGAAGTCTTAATCACATCACAATATTGCATTATAGATTTTGTCGAATATTTTTGTTCGTCAGTTATATGCTTCAAGGACGTGAAAGTTATAGAGTAAATGATTTTGGTATACAGCTTCTCTTATAAATGAATTTACATTTAATCTTTAGCAGCAAGTGTTAAATTTGGTAGAATATATATACATATATATATAAGAAAGAAAGAGATTTAGAAATGACAAAACTTTATGAAGTTAATCTATCAAGAATTTTATATCTTAAAGGCTAAAATTGCACAAAATGATAAATGATAATATTCCATATTACGTAGTCTAATTTTATTAGGATTAATAACTATTTCCATATTCTTAATACGAGTTATAGGTGATTAATTGATTTTTATATTCCAGTTCTATTACAGTGACAAAAGTCTTCCACCACTATATCTTTTTGCATCTATTGCCAGGTATTCATCATTTCAGTTATGCAAGATTCTTACTCATTTTAACTAATGAATTATTTAAAACATTTGATTTTGTGCAATTTTACAATGCTCTATCACGTGTCGTGTAAATTGTTTCTTAATCTGTATATTGTACCAAAATTGTTTACTACTAACAGTTGTTTGTTCCTGTGATTATTATAAATATAGAAAAGACGTTGAAAATCTTAATAAAAAGAAAAAAAAATAGAGAATTATGAAGATTTGACATAAAATTAGGAATGTAGAATAAGGATACACACGAAGATAAAATTGCCAAAACATATTATATAAAAGGAAATTTTATACAGAATTAGTGACTTGCTTTGAATTGTTATTTACCAGATATGTACATTATACTATGCAGAGTGAGACAGATTGAGTTTTGCAAAATTAAATTATGATTTTTTAATTGAATTGAAGGACTCAGAATAAACGTTTCGCGTCCAACACTGAAAAAACTGTGCCTTCTTTCTAAAACAATATATCCTCGTATTCTTTTTTAATTAATCCCCAGAGTAAGGCCTTTACTGACCTAATGTGCGACTTAAATTATATTATTTAATATATTTTTTTATATTGATCTCCTTTATTGTTTATACTTATCATATGTAGATATCAGAAATATTTATTTATTGAGCAGTGTTTAGGGTTGAATGAAAGAGGAGTAAAGGGTGCAGTAAAGATGGGGAAGGGAGAGTTTAATGGAATTGTAATTTAGCTTACCAAAATAACAGCTCTGAATAAAATTATTTTTTATTTTTATTTGCCATTTTAACATAGCTTTATATTCATACATGCATGTATTTCTGAATATGTACATAAAATTTTTTATGTTATTTTTCATTAATTTCTTGAACCTTATACCATTAATGTAATACATTTGTTTATTTATATTGTTCCAACAATTCTAATATAGGCTCAAACACGGTTATTACTGAAGCTCTTCCCCATACGAAGTCGTAATGAGTAAAGGAGTTTCCAAGTATCTCTCTGTGGAATACTACATTACCAAGTTTCTTCTTAAGAAGATCAATATCCTGAAAAGAAGATACATTACAATATTGTAATGTTAGTTATTAAGAAATTCCGGTACAACCGTTTTGAAACGCTCTGTATAATATTGCGTACCTTTGATGTTGCAAGTCGGTCATCATCGCTACTGAAAAGTGCAACTGGCGCAATTACTTTATTCAATTCGTATTCTGGTGGTACTGAAGAATTATATGCTCTATTATTCTTCTGCTCGTTATCATAATCAAATTGCCTAAAATTATCTGAAATCATTAAAACATTATTATTTCTACAGATTGATAATGTTCTTTCTAATATAATCAATGCTCACCAGGATGTATGTATCCTTGACCAAAATGAACTACTTGTTTCCAAGATGCGCCCGCAGGAACGTGATTCATGATCGTTGTTAAATTTGTCTATAGCAAATAAATGTTTGCAAAGAAACATATAAATTTTACCTGAGTTCAATTAACATTTAGCGGTTAAAAAAAAAGAAATAAATATTTGCATATTGAAATTTGTAAATATTAAATATTGCAACTTTAATATTTTCTAAGATATTGGAATTATTTTAGTGAATCAAGTTTTTACCGCGCTTAAATTTGCCTGACTCAAACCAGTCACTATGAATAAGAAATTAGTGCAAAAGAGCTGCGATGTCGCATCATCCTGGCAGAATAAATTTGATACAAATTTTTCCCAAACAGAGCGTGGTCGTACTTCCGGGTAACCGAACGCTTCACCGATCCACTAAAAGAGGAAAAAAAAGAAAATTCACTTACAATACATGCGAATTGAAACATTGGTGCAATCAGTTTAAATTCCTCTAGAACTTACCACACCCATGTATGTTAATTTCGCAAGTTTTGTAATCGGCCCGCGTATATTACCAGTAAAAGCAACGGGTGCAAGACCGATCATTAATTGGATTTTAGCGTTGTAGCTAGGCTTTTGCGACATCATTACCCAAAATTGCGTTGTCCCCTGAGAATGACCTATGTAAGAGAGCTTTTCGTGTTTCGTTCGATTTAATATGTAGTCAATCATCGCAGGTAGATCATAAACTCCGAGTTCGTGGTAACTACAAGGAAAAATAATAAAGAAGAAAGTTAAATAACTTTTGAAACAAATAGCATACCTAAAATCCCAAAAACGTCGATTATTTGGCGATATCGAAACATGATTTTTCGAATAAACGTTCCCTCTATTATTTCCAAGCCATACGTCATATCCTGCGTCTGCTAACACGAACCCTAAAGATAATAAATTTTTTTTTACAGGTCTCAATGACATAAAAGTACCAAACAATTTCACTTATGGTACCTATATCAATTTGAATCTTACAGTTTGATAAAAATAATTGTATTATTAAGATTTATCATAAATTGTACCTAATGCCTTATCCGGTCCCAGAAGAATCCAATCCGCCGAACTACTCGCTAGTCCATGTTGAATTAAAATCGAATGTTTCTTACTTGTAAAGTTCGTTTTATAATTGATTCGTCCGTGTGGAATTCGATGAATCTCCAGGATATATCCATCTTCGGTGATGATTTTATGAATCTCGAACGGATATCCATATTTTTTTATTAGTTCCGGCTGTTTGATATTGAAAGTATTAAATTCAAATTTAAATTCAATTCAAATAAAACAGAAACTTACTGTTCCAAGCTTCATTTCAACTTTAGTGTTAAATTTATTTGTCGCCAGTACAAAAACATGGCTTAAAATAAACAATTGCAGTAGTAAAAAATTGTATAACAACGACATGACGTTCGAACGGAACAGATCAGTGGAATTAAAAAGCACCCATGTTTTATAGGAGACGACCGCATCAGAATGAGCGATAAAATGCTCATAATGCTTGTCTCGTTTATTCTGTGTGTATACTCGACCTTTAACGAGTATGTTGTATTACTTAAATATCTAATGGAAAGTGTAATTACGAACAGATAAATTGTTCTGTTGGAGGACAATGTCATCCGTAGCTAGGATAGAGAATTTGAATCAACTAAAAATATATTGAAAGGAATAAAAACGAAATAAGCTTTATTTAATTAAAATTAGTTTAATCATTTGTTTGTCATTGTTGATTGTTAGTAGAATTTACAAAGTACCTTATATACAGCTTTATTGCGTCGATGATTATAGTTTACTGATATTGTGAAAAACCCTGATATAAAACGAGGTTGTTGTACGCAAAGCAAGGTCGGTTACAACACCTTTTTATGTGCGTTTATCTATTCTATGAACAATTAGGCAATAATTAAGTAATATTCATCCATAGAATTTAATTTTAATTCTTTTGAATTCGAAATTTAAATTAAATTGATTCAGTAGCTTTCTCGAAATCGTAATAACCAAATTTGAAAATAATAACAATGTTTTTAAGCAGAAATTCAAAACAATATGCTTTTTAATTATTAAGTATGTAATAAAATTAAATATCAAATCAAATTTTCCCGCGTAAACGTTTACATGTAAGCGATAGGACTGCAGTTTTCTATATATATAAATGGGGATCACCTCCCTTACATTGGCATTTCCCCTCCGGAAGCCAACCATGCTCGATGCAGGGCGCCCTCTACATTTATCACGAAAGGGAATATAAAAACCTTGTAACATTCCCGAATTACATATTAATAAAGTATTGATACTATTAATATTTTAAATACTCTACCAGAATTATAGATATATATGTTTAAGGTAAAAAAACTTTTACGTAAAATAAATAAGGTATCATTTTGACTTACCTTGTCTTCGATCGAATTTGCAATTCCTGCGCACTAAACGAAAATGGTGAATTAACGTTTCTGCGCATCCCCACTCTAGGGTATGTCTGATCGACGTTTGTCTCATATCCGGCTTTGCAGAAAGTCGTTCTTTCTGTTCTTGGAGTCGGGGTAAGTAGGATGTTCGTTATTTCATTTGCACTTTAAATACTGTAATATAATATATTATATCATGGTTATGTATTCATCTTTTTCTCCACATTCTTCACTTAATATTCTTAACACGTTAAAGTAATAAAAATGTGTTAAATTTCCTTTTAGAAACTGTTGCTGAATCAGCTAAAGTATCACCTTGAATAGAAACTTCATCAGAAACCGAAAGTTCGTTATCATATTAAATATGTGAGTAAAATTCATAGTTTAAAATATAATAAAATGGTCTAATTATTCTTTCATTTTTTTTTTCAATATTTCGTAATAATTCATTGCTCTGCACTCTTAAGTCGCTCATGGTCGGCCATTTCATGAACATCTGCAATGCGTCGCTGAAAAATTTCCTTTCTCGTGTCCTTGCAAAAATATATCAATTTAATATTATGTAATAGTTTGCCAAAGATTAATTTTAATATATTTTAAAGTATTAATACATTACAAAGGATGGAGAATCATCATATTAAAATTACTGAGTTTATCAAAAAATTTGTAGATTAAATACCTGATACGTTTTCCTAAATATATGTTCGTTACGTTTGATTAAAATTTATTAAGAAGAGAAAATGTATTGAAGGTTGCGACAGATAACGGGAGCTATTGGATCCCTCAGACTTAGGTTTGTATAGTAATATATTCATTGATTATTACGAATACACGAAAAAAAAACTGTTATTAATTTTAACAAAATTATAATTTTTGTGAATTACACTATTCAACAACGTCAATCATTTTTTTTAATTTGTATCTTTCTGAATCTATAAATTGTTTCTCTTGCTATTAATCATAGTGTTTGAAAAATTTAACTTTGAAGATATTCTGTTCTTTAACAGTAGTTAGAAATCTGGATATGTGTTGAATAGTGGTGCACCTCTCATTTTGGCATGCCTCCATTTTACTTTTTAATGGAGCATGAATGCTGATGGGAGGAATATTAACACGAGAACAAGCCTTCGGAATCCACACATTTATGTCTGGAGCCGATTCTCTTTGTTCGCTACATTTCTACTAACAGATTGGTGCATTATAATGTAATCTATAAAATATTAACTTTTTTTTTTCTTATAGGACGTACGGAGCCAATTACCATACTGGAAGTTACAGAAATGTTAAGGAGCGGAGAAATGTATACGGAAATACTAATTCCAACAGAAATGGACGTTTTGAAAATCACAAAAATAACATAAACAGTATTCCTGGCAATTTGAGGAAACCGAATTGGAATTCTGAAACTTTAAAACCTTTCAAAAAAGATTTTTATATACCACATCCCAATGTTCAATCACGTCATCCACAAGATATAGATTTGTTTAGACAAGAAAATCAAATTACACTTAAAGGAGAGAAAATACCTAATCCCATTCAACATTTTGAAGAAGGAAATTTCCCTGACCATGTAATGCAATGTATTAGAAAGCAAGGATTCAGCGAACCAACCGCTATTCAAGCTCAGGGATGGCCAATTGCTATGTCTGGTCAAAATATGGTTGGAATAGCACAAACTGGATCTGGAAAGACTCTAGGATACATTCTGCCAGCATTAGTACATATTAGTAGCCAACAGCCGTTAAATCGCGGCGATGGACCGATTGCTCTTATCTTAGTACCAACCAGAGAATTGGCCCAACAAATTCAAGACGTTGCTCACACCTTTAGTTCTCTATCATATGCAAAAAGTACCTGTATCTTTGGTGGTGCACCAAAAGGCAAACAAGCACGTGATTTGGAACAAGGAATTGAAATCTGTATCGCCACACCTGGCCGATTAATCGATTTCCTTGAACATGGTACAACCAATTTACGTAGATGCACTTACTTAGTGTTGGACGAAGCAGATAGAATGCTTGACATGGGTTTTGAACCACAAATCCGAAAAATCATTGAACAAATTAGACCAGACAGACAAGTTCTTATGTGGTCCGCAACTTGGCCAAAAGAAGTACGAAACCTTGCAGAAGAGTACCTTGTAGATTATACACAATTGAACATTGGGTCATTAACATTGTCAGCTAATCATAACATTCTGCAAATTATTGATGTCTGCGAAGAACACGAAAAACAATCAAAGTATGTATTACAATTTTAATATTTAATTGTATTTTAACACGTTCGCTGCGGAAATAACCGAAGAAGTAGACGCGTGAACTGCAGTGAATGTGTTAAATGTTCTTCTTAAATTTTTCTTTTATTGCAATACAAATTTTTTGTGATGATACTAGTAGATGATATTTCATGATTTCATGCAATACTTTTTCCTCTAAGAAGAACTGATTCTTATTGATTCATTACATAAATATTTTTCAATTCGATCACCTTTTAATTCATTTCTTTCTTTTTTTTTGCCAATTGTAGATTGGAAAATCTTCTTCAGGAAATTAGTAGTGTTAATCCGAATGATGGAAAAACAATAATTTTTGTTGAAACAAAGAAAAAAGTGGAGAATATTGCCAGAAATATTCGTCGTTATGGCTGGCCTGCAGTATGTATACATGGTGACAAATCACAAGGGGAAAGAGATCACGTTCTTACAGGTTCATTATTATAATTTTAATGATACAATAAATCTATCTTACACACCAATTTATAATAAACATTTACATTGCAGAGTTTAGGAGGAAAAGGAACGCAATTCTTGTAGCAACAGATGTTGCTGCTCGTGGATTAGGTAAGTAATATATTTTCTTATATTTATTAATTTTTTTTGTTTAAATTGTCAAAATTGCATTGATCTTTAGATAAGTTACATTTGCAAAAGTTTATATTTATTCAAATAAAAGTTAGAAGATAGAGTAAAAGTGGCGATGTAGCACAGACTGGTTATATGAAGGTGATGCCTCACAATTTCCAAAATAAAAGTAATCGATATTAATTAACGACTTATATACTATCGTAATTACAAATAAAGTACATCAGTAGTATAATTATAAGAAAGTATTACAATTTCTTAACAGAGTGTTGTAACGCTTTATACATGACTATAATTGATAGTAATAAAAACGTGTGTATTAGTAATACGTGTATATTAAGGAAGATTAATACTGATCAAAAAATGCTTTATGTGCATATTCTCAAACTTTTACATAAGCTGAGTGCACTAAATAGATGGCATTAATTAGTTGGTATGTGTATTTCATAGTATTCATTCATTTATTGGTATAATTGATCCGAGAAAACTTTTTGTAGGAAATATAACTAGTGTTCGCGTGAAAAATACAAAATTTTTGCAACAGATTTTATCATTCTAATTAAACTAACATTCAACTCTTTTATTGCATTTTTTGCAGAGTTACTTCGTGTTGTTATCCTGATATTAAATACCAGTAAGACACATGTAATTTATTCATTTCAATTTTTTTTTTATTTCTAAGTTTCAATTGTGTCAACAGCATTATTAAACATTTACTAATGTAATCTATTTACACACAAAAGAATTACGTTCTGCATTATATGCTTGTGTTAAAGAATTGAGAAGAAAAATTGGAATATAGGAAATGTGTTAGTAATAAGTGTGGGCATCCTGTAATTTATGTTAATCAGTCTGGTTGTCCTTTGTTTCAGAGGCACATGGTGCACAAATTGTGTTGAGTGTGCGATGAAAAACGATCATTCAATAAAGAAAACATGGCTCACTCATTGTACATGCGCAATTCTGTTTTGTACATAATATTGTACTTAATGTGCCTCTGTGTTCAGCCTGTGTACCACGCGGTTGTAGAGTGGTGCGCGGGTCGTGCCGCTATCGTGCTGATTGGTTGTGAGATAAAGCGGTGGTTTACAACCGGTGCACCTCATAGCCAGTGTTCAGCCCGAGACAACAATCTATTGATTTTGCTACTATCGCTACTCAGTGGTGATGCTTAGGACACGACGTCGCTATGTGAACTTGCATTTAAGAATATCGCACATTGAGGCGCTCTGTATGCAGTCATACGGAACGCTTGTTCAACGATAACAGGGTTTGTATTTGTTATTATGCAGCTAACTTACATTCATATACATTTCAATCTCAAATCAGTATGATTTCGTCGTAAGTAAAAATTTATTAGGTAAATGAAAGTAGTTGAAAATATCAAGTATTATTTTTTTATTTTAACTACTAGTCTCAATACAAAAGAGGATACGGAAAAATGTCATAGTTACGTTTTATTAATTTAATTGTACTTTATACTGTGTTTTTATTTCTGCATGTATGACATACTACCTGCACAAAACTGACAGATACAGTTTTTTATTCCTACAACTAAGTAAAGTCATGAGAATCTATTTATTACAATTTCATACTCGATATATATACAAACATCTTAATATGTTACTGGAACATAGTGTATGATTATAGGTTTAGCTGCATATGTATTCTGAACTGAAAAATGCAATCTAAAGATAAAAGCAATTACTTTTTTCTATTAATTTTCATTATGATATTCATTAATGTTTGCTTTAATAAAATTGATGTAAAGGTATAGCCTCATTAGCAACAACATAATCATAATTGAGAAATGTATATACCATCAGAAAATTAAATTTTCGCTAAATGCGAATTTTTATATACATATATACGTTATGTATATATGTACGTGTATATACATATATACATATCAAATTATTTAATCTCTTGTATTATTAACATGCCCATTTTAATACAATTATTTCTTTAGATGTCGACGACGTAAAGTTTGTGATCAACTTCGATTACCCAACATCATCTGAAAACTACATTCATAGGATCGGCAGGACGGGTCGGTCAAATAACTCAGGAACAAGTTACGCCTTCTTTACACCTCAAAATGGGAGACAAGCTAAAGACCTAATTAACGTACTCCAAGAAGCAAAACAAGTTATTAATCCAAAACTTTGGGAACTTGCGGAGAAAACCGGAAATGGTATTGCTCAACGTAAGCATTTACACACATAATGAAATAATTACAGAGGAAGAATTTGTGTTAAAAGCATGCATTTTACTATGTACTTTATATATTTTCAGATCGATGGGGAGGTGATTATCGTAGGCGAGACAATAATTTCACTAAAGTACACAAACGATTCGAGGCAGTAAGTTATTTTAACGCGTAGATCTGTCATAAATTTCGACCACATTTCCAAACAACCTGTTGGAGATTCAAAACTTGTTACAAAGAAAGATTCTTCATGTAGGCTACCGTTGTTCTATGTTTATTACGTGCTCGGTTAGTTTTTTTTTATTTTTATTTATATTTGTTTTAATTGCTAATAATAGATTCTCAGTAATATACGAAACAAATAAAAAGTGCTTTTGATAGACTTTTATTACTATATTTTTACACTGTCATTTATTGAAGCACGGAGAAAATGAATGAACAACATACGAGATGGTTGACAATCTTCTATAAAATTAAAATCAATTTGAAATCTCTCTTGTTTCTAACTTCGTTACAACAAATTTAAATTGCGAACTTAAGTTCTTCGAAGAAATTATGAAAATTTCTTTTTCTTTTACAAATCTCTGTGTATTTCCGAAGGTAGGGGTTAAATGAGACATGGGTAGATAGTAAATATATCAGTATTCGTTCCACTTCTTTACTGTGATCAATTTTGTTTTTGATCATACAATGAAGTTACTCTTTTGTTTAACTATGTTAATAGATTTAAATAATGTCACGGATACTATGACTAAAACTACATACGTTTACATGAACATCTTATCAATGCTCCGTATTGATAATGTGAGAATTTAATTTATACAAAGAAATATCGATTGAAACGATTTGATCTTGCAGCGAGTTATTATCTAAATGTAAAAATGTAGTTTGATTAAAACTTTCCATCATTCGGACGGATTTCCAAAACCGTCATAGCACTTGAATCTACGTTTCCCGTAACTCCGCACATTGCTGTATCACATTTGTAATTTAAGAAATAAACTGACTAAATTAAAGAACCAAAAAGTTATCCTTTGACTGGTCCATAAATTAACAATACCAATATTACATGTACGCTGAACTAAATAAATAGTTGGAGAAATAATTATATGATTATGTAAAATAATAACTGAAAGGGGTGGCCTTGACCTCTAAAGAAGGATACAATCATAAATGTTATTTCCCTTCGATGAGCTTAATTAATAAGCAGAGAAAGTAAAGTAAATTACATAAAATCCGGAAAAAAATTTGAGGACGATTATTATATTGGTTGTACCCACTTCGTACGGACCTGATTTCATCTAGGGGTGTCAGGGACCCCGCTGTGCCAATGACGCCCTCTGGATACCAACCTGATATCATATTGGGGTGTCAGGGACCCCGAAGCACCGATAACTCTCTGCACACCGACATATCCTGGGGTGTCAGGAACCCCTAAACACCGGTGACACAGTTTGCATACCGACATATCATCCTGGGGCGTCAGGAACCCCTAAGCACCGGTGACACAGTTTGCATACCGACATATCATCCTGGGGTGCCAGGGACCCCGAAGCACCAATGACTCTCTTTGCTTACCGACACTACGGCATTCGGGGTACCTGAGACCCCGAGGTACCGGTGACTGCATACCGATATTATGCCAGTGGGGTGTCACGGACCCCGAAGCTAAAATGTACATACGACCCATAGACTTTGTCACAGCTACATATGTCGGTAAGCGCCGTCTACCTGTTGCATTCTTGACTACAGGTGTATAAAATTCCAGTTTTGTCCAAAATCCTTTGGAAGAAGGAAGGACTAATTGGATTTCTGATTCAAGACTTTACCGTTATGTTCTTAGAATATTCGTATTTGTAAATATAAAGATTTTTAAACATTTAATTCAGATTTTATTAATTAGACCTAAAAGATTCTTGTAACTTTTACAGATACACTTATGCTTACTCTTATTATGCTTTATCTTGCTGATCTTCTAACATCTGAGTTATGTTCTGAAAATATGATTTTGAGTAAGTTTTAAAAAAGACAGAATGGCTTTTTTATGTCCAGTACGTATACGGCGAGGAAAGAAAAAGAAACGTAAGTATAAAAGTTCTTTGCAGAGTCTAAATAATATATTATAGCAATTATACATATGTAAAGAGAGAGAGAGAGAGAGTGAGAGAAAGGAAGAGGGAGGAAGAAAGAATATGTGTTCTTGTATATCTTTATTAATGTAAAATAGAAATTATTGGCATTCAAATTATATTGTTTGTAATTTTAATCAACTGTTTTATCATTTTTTTTTCAGTTTATAATTGCTTGTAAATTATTTTGAATTACACCTTTATGGTATATAATAACTCATGAATTTTAAGATATTTTAATTTCTTTTACCATATAAATGAGTTTGCTATTTATACATTCTTACAATATTCAAATACTGTTTTAAGTTCCTTATTACATATATTCTTTATATTTATCTATTAGAAGATAATAAGAAACAATATAATGAAAATTTTTAATTTGTATAGCTGGTGTACACAACTTTAATTTGGAAAAGGATTGTGGTGGAGCAGGAGGTACAGGACTTGGTTTAGGAACTAAAGTGCCATTACCCCCTGGTCGTATAACAGGGAGTGCTAGTATAGAGACTTTAGTTAGAGTAGGGATCGAAAAGGAAAATGGATTATCACCTGATAGCAAAATGGTTATTGTTCATGATTTTACACCTTGTGTTGATGATGAACTTCAAGTAAAACGAGGCCAGGTAGGCAGTAATAGTAATAAGAATAATTTTGTGTTTCTGTGTTTGCTTTATGTTCATAAATATTATATATGATTTCACCTTGTTCGATGTTGGTTGTAAAATGCATTTGTTTTGTTCATTTTTTGCATGTTTTAGGTTGTAAATGTTTTGTATAGAGAGAATGATTGGGTGTATGTAATAGCAGCTGATACACGTATGGAAGGCTTTGTACCACATTCGTATTGTGCACCTTACACATCTCAGCTTGCCGAATTAACGCTTGCTACACTTATGAACAATGTGAAAAAAAAATTGCCAAGATCTAACGAGACTGATTGCGATTTTGCCGGTACAGGTCGTTCACAAACGGCAGACGCACAACAAACTGACACTGGATCGGCATCCGATTGCGAGAGTTATGCTCGTAATGTCACTACTGCTGATGTAAATGTTAATCGATCTAATATCACACAGTCTCAAAATTCTATTCAAACTGTATCTTCTCAGCCGGATGTACATCCTTTCTTTAAGGTGCGTGTATAAATATTTTATTTCATGATTTTACTTCAGATGTGTAACCTGATTAAAAATTATATACATCGTTCTTTTTCTTCTGATATTCATTATAGGATCCATCAGCTGGAAGATACATTGTACTTTATACTTTTGTAGCTAGAGATGAAAATGATGTTAGCGTAGAGAGGGGTGAATTTGTAACTGTACTCAATCGAGACGATCCAGATTGGTTTTGGGTACTTAGACATTGCGATGGAAACGAAGGATTTGTGCCGTCCGGATTTGTATATCCAGGACATGTTCTTCATTCTTATGCAACAACAGCTACCACTACTGCAGCTACAACATCTACAGAAACACATAGTTTAGGTAATACAAGCTTAATAAAATGGTATATTAATTAAAACTTAAAATTACGTAAATTAATGTTTTATTGAAATTTGAAAGGAAAAGGAAGTAACGGTATGCCAGGAAATGAATCACTGCAACAAAAGGGTTTACGAGATTTTCGTGATGAAACAAACGGCACAGAATTAGTTGTACTTTACGATTATAAGGCGCAGGCGCCGGATGATTTATCTGTGAGGAGAGCTGACTGGATATATGCAGACTTAGGAAATCAAACAGTAGATGGTTGGTTGTGGGCATACGCGCCTAAAACTAGAAAATATGGGTTCATTCCGAAAGCGTATGCCCGCCCTCCTGCTATGACAAGCTTATGATGTAAATTATAGTTTTTCATTTAAGGAGTATATACAATTAATAAAATATTTCTATATACTACTGCATTTTAAATGATATCCAAAAGTTAATACACACTCTGTAAGTATTATTACCTCTGTTAATGGAAATATTGAAATTTCATCTATATATTTTTGTATATATTTAATGTACAGTAACATTAACATTGAGAGTAGCACAATCTGATGTAATGTGACTGAGAAGACCCTCGTGCAGAACTATACAATCACCTGTTGAAAAGATATCTTCAGGACACTGTGCCGTTCTTAACGAATTTATCGGACCAGTATATGTCAGGGAACGTAAGCCTTCTGTATCAATTTTATCTATAGCCTGTTGTGACAATAGCCCATTTTTATATTATCATGTACATAAAGATATTAATCATTTGTTTAACTGTATGTTTTTTATATGATACAATATACCTGAATGCTACATAGAAGTTTCTCTTTGGTATTACCAATATCCAATCCAGCGACCCAAGCGATAATCACATCTTTTTCCCCTAAATCGTTCTTACATTGATTTCTACAGTTTAATCGAGCAGCTAATACCGATAATGGCAAACGATTACGGAATTTTGGATTCATTTGATTACCGTTAAACATTCTTGCAACCGGATCTCTTAGCGTAAAGATATTTATGTTAATATTAAATATGATAATGAGCTTTTATATTTTTACAAGGTAAGTTTAATATACTCACGAAAGTTTACCAGAAACTAAAAGAAGAGCCAAGCAGCGGCTGGAATCAGAAGACAAAGCGCTAAAACTGACAATCAGCGTACTCTTAATACCTGGCTCCACATTTAAAATGGGTACTTCTGGGTGATCGAAGATGAAATGATGCGTTAACGCTGAAAATGCTACATTTATGGCGCAATCAATTCGTGGACAACGGATGGGTCTACGGGAACATTCCATACTGATTTGTCCGTTTACTCTAGCTTCAGAAACGTACGAATCCGCATTTCCTTTCTCATATAAATTACACTGACTATATTGTTGGTTTCGTTTACCAGCATCTTTGACTTTTTCTTTTTGAACATTATTGCCTCGTTCGTAATCAGAACTCGTTTCAGAATCATTGTTGTAACATTCCAACGAATTTCTTTCAATATTATCTGCTACAGATGAATAATTTTGATTCCAGGATTTTATATACGACTGTTCATGTTGTTGTATAGATTGATGATGCTTCGATTGATACTCTGATTGATACCGTGGAACTTGGGGTCTTCTTGGACGTAATTTTATGGAATTTAAGCTGATATTACTTTCTTGTGCTAAAGCTATGTTTGACTGTTGATATTGCGCATGACAAAGAATGCAACCTGGATCTACAATATAATTGAAGTAATACTCAATAATAATTACGGTAATAAGAATGTTAATAGTAGGCTTGATTATTAATAATATTCTAAATTAACCTATTTGGATTGTAAAATGTTGAACGCAACGTTGACACAGGGCATGCCCTTGGGAACAAGGAATATTGTGATTGAAATTAGAATTGATATTTCCAAGTGTAAGATGGCAAACAGCACAGAGTCCAAGCATCGCATTTTTTCTAGGCGTGAATGCTTCTTCCTCTTCTTTTTTATCTCCTTCCCCTTTCATTTCTTTTTCTTTCAACCCTATTCCTTTAAATTGTCTATCTTCTTGTATCTTCTTTTCATCCATCGGTTCCTTGAGTTCTGCGCGCTGAAAAAAGAATAAATATTCTTATTTATTTTATGCGCGCTAAATATTGTAAAACGTTTTTTAACGGGAATGTGTCCCGTTTGCCTTGTGCTAGGGGCTGCTCTACTGAAAAGTACCATTTAATTTCTGACTATTCGCAGTTTTGATTTTTAACTGTCTGGAATACTTGTTCACGTACCTTGTTTTGATTTTTCATCAAGTTACAATTTGTTTTGTTAATTCGATCAATCTCTTTGTCCATTTCTTCTTTTAAATTCTCAGTTTAGCTCGTACGTGGCTTGAACTGGTAACTCTTTTATTGGATGTTTATCGTATTTCGTTCAATTACATTCTTGTTGCTGTAAAAAGTAGGTATATAAAAGGTTTCAATATTTTTTTTCAAAAAGATTCAGCCTTTAACGATTTTGACAATAATGATTGTTAATAATGTAATTACGGAGTTTAAAAATATTTTCAAATCTAATGGATTGATGGAAATGATATTTTTGAAAATATGTGTCTTAAATTATTTGAACAGCTTTATAAATATATTATTTTCAGACTTGCTGCAATTTATTATTTAAAAACGTTTTATATTCATTGATGTGATAAACTTCGATACGTATGATTTGCCAATTAGATTCGAGGAACCATTTTGATATCTACTTTTTTTCTCACTGTTTGATATCTTCAGATATCAGAAAGTATGTAAAACATTTCAATTTTATGAAAACTAGTGAAACGCCCCGTGCTATGCACGGGGAATTAATCAGTTAAAATTTGACTTATGGCCCTCGGCTCAACCTTCCCAGTTATTTATTATTTTTTTGTCTTTAAGGGCCTCACGAGGCACAACCCTTTATCACTGCATCCCTTACATGTCTGCATCCTTAACATCCCTGTATCCCTTATATCACTACATTCCTTATATTCCTGCATCTCGTATATGCCAGCATTCCTTATACCTCGGCATCCCTTACATTTTTGCATCCCTTACATCTCTGTACCCTTTATATCTCTATATTCCTTACACTCCTGAATTCTCCCTGTATCTCTTGTATCCTTTCAACCCTTATAATAAATATTTTATAAATAATATACTTATGGCTACTGGTTCGAGTAAAGGTAAGTAAAGGTAAGTAAAGGTAAGTAAAGTCTCATGAAAAATAATTTAAATTCTTGCAAAATTTAGTTCCTTTTTTTACCAACAGAGGGCGCTGATCGGAGGTCGAAATTTTAGTTCACATTTTTGCCGCCAGAGGGCCAAAATTACAACTTGGTTTAGTTCCTTTTTCTCCTCCCAGAGGGCGCTGATCGGAGGTCGAAATTTTAGTTCGCATTTTTGCCGCCCGAGGGCCAAAATTACGACTTGATTTAGTTCCTTTTTCTCCCCCCAGAGGGCGCTGATCGGAGGTCGAAATTTTAGTTCACATTTTTGCCGCCAGAGGGCCAAAATTACGACTTGGTTTAGTTCCTTTTCCTCCCCCAGAGGGCGCTGATTCGAGGTCGAAATTTTAGTTCACATTTTTGCCGCTAGGGGGTCAAAATTTAGTTCCTTTTTTACCGCTCGGAAGCGCTATGATGGGCTGCTTACAATATATAATACAAGGATGTAAGTGATGTAGGGATGTAAGGAATGAAGGGGTGTAAGGAATGCAGGGATGTAAGGAATGCAGAGATGTAAGGGATGCGGGAATGTAAGGAATGCAGAGATGTAAGGGATGCAGGAATGTAAGGAAAGCAGCGATGTAAAGGATTTTTTTTAACGTGGGGAAATCTTGGGTAAGACCCCACACCGACCCCTCGGGCATGGTGGCGCGAGAGTGTCAGATTCCTATTGATTAAAACCCCACGGCGACCGATACTGGCGCTAATCAAGTGGTCATCATTCAACGAACGTCTTAAAGTTAACGCAAATAATCTTCACTTTGAATTTTTAACAAAAATTTAATGCTCGATCGATACTGTGGTACTATCATTGTAAGAGTACACATATAACATTTTTCTGCCTTGTTTTCGAGCATGCGTACAACGTCCCAGCTTCACTCACAGCCATCTTTCCGCGTTATTAAAAGGAAGGATTATAATAACATTAACTAATAAATATAACTTTTTAATGATTTAATACCCTCGCATGACAATTGTGCTATCAGAACTTTTAATAACATAACATGTATTGTTAAAGTATTACATTTTATAAATATAAAAACATATTTCATACATAATGCATAAGTTTAACAATGAGTACATACATACTATTGACAAATACAGTATAAAATGTACTAAAAAATGTACTCTGGAAATAAACGTGAAAAAAGAATAATTTAATTTATATTCGTTTGTGTAATATTCACAATAACTGATAACTAATATAAATTATTACAAAAACATTTACATAATATTATTTCTTTATAAATACAAATTTTTATTCACTTGTAAAATTTCAAATTGTATGTTACTCACACATGCCTTAAGTTAATAGAACTATTGAATAATATCCTTTTTCACGTTAATAACACACAATATTATAGTTCAGTATAAAATTAATATCTATATGACAGAAAAAATTGATCATTTAAATTTTATATACATACTAAAAAAATGATACAAATTCCATTTGTAAAATCAAATATCAAAGTCCTTTTAAAACATATCACATTCATAACATAATTAACATTATTGTGTTTTACTGTAATCTATTTATTTTTTATCTTGAAATTTTTGGAATTGATTATCTTTTAAATATGTCATTTTCTCTGTGCTCACAGTTTTTAAATCACTCGAGTAGAAATCATCTAATGGCATAAAATCCTGCCTATCACCTAAGTTCATCATGCTACAGCTTTTGCTTTTACTGTTTAGCAATATATTTGATTTCTCAAATACTGATAATAATGGTAACTCTCTAATATTCAATGAAATATCTGTTAATTTTTTAACTGCAGAAGCTTTGCTACTATTATCAGTTAACTGTTTATTTAACGAGTTTTCACTCGATAATCTTGCTACGTTCTTTAACGGTGATGTACTAGCGCTAGAAAATAAAAATTGTGAAGAATTAGATCTAAACCATTTTTTCGTCGATATCGCGTATTTTACTTCTGAATTAGTCGTGCTATTATTATTTAGCTGCGTACAATGTAAGTTTTTTGGAGTATTTAGGCCGTTTTTACAAGTTTCATTAGCTATAGTGGAGTTTACGTTTGTACGTTCTTTATCAAATTGAAGATCATCAGTCTTATTACCTACAATATTATCTAAACTTTGATATTTTTCGGTAGAATTAGTATCAAAATTCGAAGGTAAATTAATATCGCTATTGCTTTGAGATTTTTTATTACTAAAGCCAAATTTGAAAACTGTATTTGGCACGTATCTTATTAGATTTCGAGCCCCCTCTTTCTTAGGAGATAATAAGCTTGAACTGAGATTACTTATATTCGTGGGACTAATATTTAACGACTTCGATGAATTATTTTTGTTATCGATTTTACATTTGTCCAATGCGGCTGAACTACTCTGTGCTCTATTTGATTCTTCAAAATGCGTCATTAAAGGTTTACTTATGGACACATTTTTAAAAGTCTGGAAGTTCTTTGATAATTTTTTAAGTTGTTCTAGATTATATACAGAATGTTCTTTACTTTTCAAAAAACTGTAACTTAATTTTTGCAAAAAATTATTTGATTTTGTGAACTTATCATTATAAAAATGTAAATTGGATATATCTTCGTTCCTATTGTCTGAATCATGCACGGAATTCTCCAAAGATAAATTATTTAAGTTTTCCACATTAGTTTCTACTTCTAATTCCCATTGAGATGTTGCCTCACTTCCATCAACTGATCTTTTTCCAAGATGTTCGGTATCTTCCTGTAATACGTAGGCATTCTGTAACATAATTAATAGTCAAAAGTAAATAAAAATCTATCGAAATATAAGTTTTATCCCGATAAAAGTTATAAAATATTTTACTAACATCACAATCTTGTACTTTGTTAAATTTATTAAGCTGATCATTTGTGTTATCTTTTATTCTATCGCCATTTAACTGATTAAATTCTAAATCATAATTAGAAGTCTTTTGCGGGCTAACTAGTTCTGCTCCTACACCCGGTTCTCGAGGTCCGTTAGCTATAAAATCTGAAAACATAAAAATATCATTTACGTATCGTAATTAACTACGACTTGCAAGACCGAACTATAAATTATGATTACCATAATCTTTGCGTTGTTGATGTATTTGATTACTAATTTCTTCTAATCGACGCAAACTTGTAGCATAATTAGTTTTTGCATCTTGTATTGCTTTTTGTAAACATTCAACTCTTTCTTTCTGTGTTGCTAACATTTGATCACATTGGGCCTTTACTTCAAAATATGGTCTCGCTTTAATTATAGCGCGACGATGTTTTTCTTCTAATTGTAACAATCTTTTTTCGGCATCATGAAACAATACCGCTCTTCTGTAATGTTCTCGACCACATTCGGCTTTTTGATTTTCAGCATCCATTACCTACATTGAATTACATTAATTTCAGAAATTATACTTAGTTTTCAGTTCTCTCATTGTATATTTTAGGAACATATTACTTTAAGAGTTGCATGATTTAACATATCTTGCCATGCTTGATCAAAATTCCATTCATGTTGATGGGACATAAATCTACTTTCAGCTAGAGCTACAGTTTCTTTTGCTGCTCCATGAATTTCACTTGCTCTTTGAAATAGTTGAGCTTGCTGTTGACATTTTATCTGCATAGAAAATTTCATTCAATCATTCCTTAAGATTTTGTGGTTTCCTTAATTGCTTGCTCACCTGAGCCTCGCGTGCTATTTCTAGTGCTTCATAATAACATCTTGCCCTTTCCACAGAATTACTTCCCACTTTATTTAATATTTCTTTCAATCGTTTTGTAGTTTCAGATAATAATTGTCTAAAAGCAGTGTGGGCTTCCTAAGTAATAAATGTTTCAATTTGCATTAATTTTGTAACTTTTAAGGAACTGCATTGATTTTATAATAGTTTCATTTACAATAGGTAATATTACTTACATCCAATTCAGATTCAAGTTTATTTATATCATCAGTTGCATCATTTAAATTCTCCAATTCAATCTAAAAATGTTAAAATAATTTTACAGCATTTTACAATTTATTTTTAATTTTTATACCATATATGATGTATGTACAAATTGAATGTTCTGTTTTATTAATATAGTAATCTATCCTCAAGCATATTAATTAAGTATAAACAATACTATGAAATAAAAATATATAATAGATCAAAACATGTATTTTTTATTAAATTAGATGCAATATAATAAAATAATGTCATAATAAATGTTATTACGTTTCTAATTTACAATGCTATTTTGTTATAGAATAAAAAGTCATAAAAGAATATGAAGTGAAAGCAAAAAGGAACATGGTACCAGGTTGTATTAGGCATGATCGCGATTCGTAATTGTATTCATTTATTCATCTAACCTATAATAAATTGATATTATAAAATTGGCTTGTTAATAAACTGCAAATAAAAACCGAGATCGAAGATAATTACCTGTATACGAGGATCTAAAGCTTCGTCAGTATTATCCGGAACATCCATGCTTTAATTTTTGACATTTAATTGAACTTAAGCAACAGTTATAAAAGTCAATCCATTGTAAGTTATATTCGCATACGTATACATCTACGTATATATATATGTTTAATTTATGAATGATGTGTAATTTTTAATGCATGTAATTATTTTCTATTGTTTACGTTTCGAAAGGAAACGATACTATATAATCATCTACAAACACTATCGACATAGCCATTTATGAATGCTACTGAATGCTACCAGTAGCATACTACAGATCCAACAAGACTGGATATGCCATTGTTCTCGAAGGGTCGTAAATTTGTACCTCGAGAACTGGTAAAACAGACGCAACTGTTATACCAACTGTGGAAACCAAACCTCAGCTTGGGGTACCGCATACCCCGGGTAATAAAGGCATGTCCAGTCTTTAGGAAAAATGGCGATAACTCCTCTCTAAGTATCACGGATTCCGCGGCACCACCCACCCTCCTATAGGTTCCCCGGGAACTCCGAGACCTTCCGGTCTCAGGGTTCCCACCCGCCCCAGTGGAGGGCGCGGGAGCAATGACGATGTACGGGGAGGATCTCATATATATAGGTCTGTGGCCCCCCACCATTCGCGGTCAAGCGTTTACGCGCGAGAATTTGAATTAATATTTATTTTATTCTTCGTACCTTTTAATTATATACTAACTATTAGAATATTTAATAACTGAAAATTATATTATTTTTCTTTCTAAGAAGACATGCTTCGAAAATTCGTCACGAAGTGACGAAACTACGGTTGTGGTATACAGAATAATAATTAACATATTCGCCATTGTGGCGTGAGCAGGCGTAAGATTTTCAGTGAACCACGTATTATACATGGTAACAATCTATTAACATCAATATCAATGGCGATAACTGTATCTACATATACATAGTTTTTACGTTAAACTTTTAATGTCAAAGTAAAAACGCATTACCAGAACAAATTGAATTATCGTGTTTAATAATCAATGATTACTAAATTTTTCGCCGGTGCTTCATTGAACATTGTAATATGATGCTTACTGTATATTTCATTGATTATCGTCTACGATCTCAACCAAATTCTACATAAATATATCTATGAAAATTCAGATAATTAAATAAAAATAACAAGGAAACAGAACATTTTGTCAAAATGTTTAAAAAATTTAAGGACAAGCTTGCAGAAGAAATGAAACAATCACCTGCTAGGCTGCAAGCAAGCATGCAGCAATTAGCACAGGTTTGACATTTCATTTAATGTTGGAAAATAATTTCTGTATGTACAATGCTGTAATAACAATATTATTATTTAATTTCACGTTGATATCTGTCTTGTTTCTATTAATCAATTACAATCAGTTATAAAAGTACATTTTATAGAATTATAAATTAATTTAACACAGGCAGTGGTATCTCCAGCTTTATCCAGTAGTTCAATACAAGAATTATCTACTTCAAATGACAATTTTAGCTTAACAGAGGAAGGAGATGGTAAGTAAATAAACTAAATCATATCAATATAATTTCCTTGTGATACAAGATATATAAAATTAAATGAAAATGTAATAACTATTTAAATTGTTCATTTACAGAAACCCCCAAAAATAGTCCTGCTAAACATGGCTTTCAAAATGTAGATTTAATGTCATCCACACCAAATTCAATAGGTATTTCTAGGAGATCATCAGTTAATAGTGTTACCAGTGATAATTCATCTCTTTTTCCAATTTATGAAAGTCCTGCTAATTTATATCATTTGCAAGTAAGATAGTTAAATAAAATTAATTAATTTCTTATATTCTATATGTAAGTGAACATTTATTTCCTTTTTTCAGTCTGATATGGATCAGTCTGCAAGTGAGATAGATGAAAATATAAGTTCACAGTTAGATAAAATCACAAAAGATCAGATATATTCAGCATATCGAAAGGTGCAAGCAAAATATCATAAATATCGTGGAAGATACACTGATTTAGCAACACACTATAGGGAATTAGAAAGAGTGAAAGGCAAACTAGAATCAGTTTTAGTTGAAACACAAGATAAAGTATTAAGAAGGATTGCAGATTTAAAAGAACAGTGTCAGCTAGAACAACAGGCGAAAGCTCATTTAGAAGAAGCATTAAGAAATGATATTGAAGAAAAGGATCATATAATAAATACATTAAATACAAAGGTAATGATAAAACAATCTTATTATAAACACATGATTAATTTTAATTTAATTACAGATTAAACTTTTGCAAACTAGTAGTGGACCAAATTCAGATGTTATAATGTCAGGTGCTACAAATGAAGATAAAGGAAGTGAAGAAAATTTAAAGGATAATCTTATTGATTTAAATACTGAATCATCAGTTAATTCTACTGAAAATTCTTTGTTAATGGAAAATACGCAACTGAAAGATAAATTGAAAAAATTAGAAAATGTTGTTCTTAAATACAAGGAATCCTTGAAACGAAATAAAGAAAAATTTACTGAAGTATTAACCGAAAAGAATACATTAGAATCTGATTATGAATCATTAAAATACTCTTATACAGAAAAAGAGAAAGAATTAAATAATGCACATACAGAAATCAGAAGTTTAACTGATCAAATGATTATTTTAAAAAAGCGCGAAGAAGAGTCTGTTATATCATTAGCTGAAAATAAACTCTCAATTCACAGAGAATTAGAAGACAAGGAAGAACAGATTAAAAAATTACAATTGGAGTTGAAACATATGACGGAATCTAAAGATAACTTAAATGAAATTGTGAATAAATATAAAACCGAATTAGAGAAGTTGAAATTGTTTCATAGTACACAAAATTTAGATTCAGAGAAGAAAGAAATTGTTCAGGATGTCTCAAAAGGGAAATCAGAAACATTCAAGCTAACACAGCAAGAAATGCAACAAAAGTCAACTAGTTCGGAAGATAAAATGGACGTGATAGATCACGAAGAAAACATAAAAAAAACTCAAATAGAAGACAGTGAAATGAATCAAAGTATAAAGTCTAAATTAGACGAAAGTAAAAGTGAACTTCACAAACATACGATAGAAGATTTACAGAAACTTATAGAAGAATATCAAAATAACAAAGTCAAATTATCTATGGAACTATCGAATTGCAAGCTTAGATATACAGAACTTAAAAATGAGCAAGATGCTCAAAAAATTATTGCAGAAGATAAGAAAAAGGAAGCTGATGCAATGATCGAAAAGTTACAAGCTACTGTGCAAAGTCTAGATAAAGAATTAGAAAACATAAGAAATGCTTTAATGGATAGAGATAAGGTGTGTGAAAATTATAACGCAAAAGTTAATGAATATAAAATGATAGTTGAGAAAACTAATGAAAAAATATTGGCACAAGATACAGAAATAAAAACACTTAAAGAAAAAGAGCAACAAGCTAATAAATTAAAGATTGAGTTAGAAAATAAAGTCAGAGAATTATCAGAAACATGTAATGAACTTCAATCTTGTAAAACTGTAATGTCGGACCTTAAGAATAAACTGCAAACATATAATTCTGATATCGATTTACTTCGTGAAGAGAGAAATAATTTAATCAAAAATATTTTAAATTACAAAATTTCTATCCAAAACCTAAAAACAAATAATAAGCGTATTAAAAGTGATGTAACGGAACATTTAACGCAATTTAATAATGAAATGTTTGCTCTGAAGAATGTACTTGATGTATGTTTGAAAGAGAAAGCTATTATTCAAAATGTTGAGACAGAAGATTTACAAATGAAATTAAAAGAATTTGAAGAATTTAAACAGAAATATGATGAACTACAAACAGAACTAAAAGATACTATATGTATTAAATCTAACTTACAAGCAAACTTGGAAAAATATAATAAACAGTTAAAGGAAATGTCGATAAATCTTGAACAGCAAAATGAAGTTGATGTAAAAAATCGTAAACTTATCGCTGAAATAGATAATCTTAATTTCAAATTATATGATTTAAGAAATGTATCAGAAGAAATGAATTCATTGAAAATAGAATCTAAATCATTAAAGGAAGAACTTAATAATGTTAACACGGTAAATCAGTTGCTTTCCAATGAAATATCAGAATTAAAAATACAATTCGAGGAAGCCAATAACAATAAAAAAGAACTAGAAGAACTGCAACAAAAATATCTGAAAGCTATAGAAACTATTTCAATGTTAAAATCTGAAAGTTCCAACTGTAATAATAAGTTGGAAAAACAAATAAATTCTTTGCAATCAGAAGTTATACTTTTGAAAGAAAGTATGGTTGAAAAAGATATACAAGTAAATACTTTAAATGAGGAGCTAAGAAGTAAAGAAAGTTTTGTAAACAGTTTAAAGAACGAATGTGAAAAGCACACAAAATTAATTGCAAAATATGAAGATCAAATTAGTAAACTCAAACAAGGGAAAGAAACACTACAGAAGACAGTACAATCAATGCAGGACAAACTGGGCAAGTTAAAAGATATTAAACAAAAACAAGGCTTAACAATACAAGAATTAAATGGTGAAATTAACGAAGTAAAGATCGTAAATACTGAATTATTAGAAAAATTAAAAATATTAGAAAATGAAATAAATGCATTGAAATCTGAAAATGGCCAAATAATTACATTACAAAATAGTAATTCATCTATAACTTCAGAATTGGAACAATTAAAATCAATACATCATGAAATTGACCTAGAAAATAAGAATTTAAAAGATGGACAGAATGAACTTTTAAAACGTAATCAAGAATTACATGAGTCTAATGAAAAATTAATACAAGAAGTTGTGTTTTACGAGAAACGTAACGAGCAGTTGTTAAATGATAATAAACAGTTGCAGATGGAGATTGAATCACACAAAAATAGTTTAAGTGGACAAAATCAGGATATTGAGAATCTAAAAAGTGAAATTGAGACATTGAATACAGAATTGAAATCCAAAACGGAAAAACTGAATTTACAGTTTGAAGAATTTCGATTGTGTAAAAAAGAAGCAGAAGAAATTAAAGAATATTTCACAAAAGAAAATAAAAATTTACAGAATGAAATCTGTAAATTAGATATTGCTTTGAAAGATAGAGAAAGTATAGAAGAAAAAAATAAAGAACTTCTAGATGATGTAGAGTCATTAAGAAAAGAAATTATAAGACTAAAAGCAATTGAAGAAGAAAATGATAACTTAAAATTGGAAATAAATAATTTAACTGAAATGAAAGTTAATTTAGAAAAAATGCAGTTACAATATAGCGAATTAACTAATGAATATGTGTTTTTAAAAAATAACATTGCAGAATTGGAAGGTGTAAATTCTGTCAATATAAAACTTCAATCAACTGTAAATAATTTAGAAGCTAAGATTTCTAGTTTAGAGCAAGCAGAATCTAACAATACTGAATTAAAAACTGAACTGGATACATTAAAAACAACAAATACAGAATTATTATCTCAAATAAATAAAATAAGTGTAGAAAGAGAACAATTAATAGCAGAGCTTGGAGAATTAAAACTTACAGTAGATGAAAAAGTAGCAGAATTGAAATTGTTAGATAATAAAAATATGGAATTATTGAAAGAAATTGAAAGGTTGAAATCTTTAACAATGGAAGATGAAGCAATAGTAGAAGCAGAAACATCAAGAAATACTATTGAACATATGAAAGAAGAAATTGGTAGATTGCATGCAGAAGCTGAAGTTCTTAAGAAATCAAATACTTCACTACAAGAAAAGGTACAAAATGCAAATACGAACAAAACTGTAGATGATTCCTTTATCAAAGAAAGTGATATGTTACAAGAAGAAAATAAAAAGTTGGAAGCACAATTAGATGAAGCATTAATTACATTCCAAGCAAAGGAACTACAAATGCAAATTGTGAATAATGAATTGAAAAATCAAGCAGATAAGTTGAAGGAGGAACTGAAAACAAATGAAGAAGAGCAGAGTATGAGATTAAAACAATTAGTTAAAGAATTTCAAGCTCAGTTACATGACAAAGAGGAAGAGTTACATGCTGCATTGGAAAAACGATTTGGTAAATTAAAATTCGCGACTTGTTTCATTTTTATATAGTTTGTTTATAAAGATAAATTGTTGTAATATGTTATAAAGAATATTATATGTTTATTTAGATCGCCAACAAAATTATGAATCAAATCTTGTTCAGCAATATAAAGAACAGTTAAAGGATTTTCAAGTAGAATTAACAACGAAATCTGAGCAAATTGAAAATCTAATTTTGGAAAACAAGAACTTAATGGCACAAAAAACAAAAGATATAAATCAATTAATAGAAAAAGTTACATCAATGAAAAAAGAACATGCAGATGAAATGAGAGAAATTGAAAAGAAATGGAAATCAATTGTGCAACAAAAAACTGACAAACTGGAAGCAAAACATGAAGAAGAAATTAATGAATTAACAAGAGAATGGCGAAATGAAAGAAGGGTTAGTTAAAAGAAACTATTACATTTCTTTTCTATGAAATCCCACTTGGTTACATATACAATTATCTTATTTAAAATTTCATTTTTTATTAATTTTTTAATTTCCTTTATCATCGTCATATTATCATTATTAATTTCTTTTTTAATTTTATAATTTTATATTTAAATTTCTTTCAGCCTGATGTACAAAATGATTTAACTCCCAAGGTAAATTCCCAATTTTATTTTTCTAGGTTTTTAACATTACCTTATTATGGCATCTACAGCATATGTTCATAATTAAATAAGAATAATTTATATGAATAAAAAATTATGGATGTTTTAAAATGAAATTTATCCATAGGAATTAGAGAGTACTTCGCGGGTTGCAATGGCCGCTGTACAATCTAATACAGGCTCTTTTCATACTCTTCAACAAACATTAACGGCTCAGAGACGAGAATTAGCTGAACTTAGAAAATTAGTGAAATTAAGACATGACACGTTAGAAGATTCAACGGAAATTGAGTACCTTAGAAATATTTTATTTGAATATATGATGGGACGAGAAACAATGGTACTTGCTAGAGTAATTGCTGCAGTTGTTAAGTTTGATCAAGAACAAACGGCAAAAATACTTAAAAAAGAAGAAGATAAAATGACATTGGTAAAGAAATTTAGTAAATATATGTGCTATAATTTTGAGTACTTTAATCCTAAATTACTTGTCATTTCAGCTTGGTTCTTTGGGTCTTACATAGTAAAAAATCCTGTATATAATTTAAAACGTGTAAGTACTTTTGTATATTAGGCTGTAAGTATTTTGTATTTATTTATGGAGTATACATATTGAAAATTTGGATATTATTCTGCTAAAATAACAAGTAAATTGTATGTAGAAGATGCTCAATGTAAATTTTGCACAATTACTTGAACATTCATTATTAGATATATTTGTTTTGCTTTCTAGTATATGTATTCTACCATATAAGGATAAACATGAACTGTTCATCTGTTAACATGGTATGTTAATATTAACTTTTATAACTATTTATAATTCATTAATAGAATAAACATTTATTGTTACAAAAATTGTCACTAATTTATGAATTGTTTCCTTTCTACATTTTTTTATACAATAATATACTGTAATTTTTTTTATTGAAAGATAACATTGCTAGAAACATGTTCTTCTCCTTTCATTTCATACAGTTTTGAATCAAAGAATTTGCTCTGTACAAAAGGTGATACCTCTCTTTTATTAATCCAAGAAAAAAGTTTCGAAGTTTTTGTGAAGTAAGGACGCAGTACGTTATCTCGTTGGCATAATTTTTCATAATATTCTTTACCACCTTGAACATATTTAGGATCTAATTCAGCCAATTCGTATGAAATACTTTTATCAGCATTAACATCTAATAGTTGTTCTGATATTGCCCATATAAGAAAAGCACCAAAAGCAATAATACCATTGATTGCATAAACCAATATTTTTAATTTGATACGAGATTTTACTGCTATTTTAAAAGTATCATATATTAAAAAAAATATCATACAATCTATAATTGTATCTACTTGCTTAATCCAAAACTCAGGTCGTTTCACTTTTAAAATTGCTCGAGCTATTGCAAATTTCTGAGCATTTTCTGAAAGCACCAAAGATTCTACGAAATTTTTTGAAGTTTCTTCATTCCATAACATATGTTTATTTTCTATTTTTACTTGATCTGCACTTAGACTTTCAGTACTTTCATAAGCATAATTTGGTGGAATTCCAATTATTGCATTAAGACCTAGCAGTGTTCCAGCATGAAATATATTTATATCATGAACACTAAATATTTGAATTTTATTTCTATCTTCTTCTGATAATTTTAGATCATTTATTACTTCTCTAAACCTTTTTTTAATTTTGTCTGGAATTGGCCGTTCATTACCATCAAAACTGTTTTCAAAGTTCAATAAAATTGATATAAATTACATATTAAATGATACTTAATACACCAATATATTTAAACACTCACCCATATGTAGCTCTGAATTTTCTATATTTGTCTAAGAATATAGTATTTGGTAATAAATTTACAGATACAATTGCACCTATTATTAGAGGTTTAAACCTCATTTCTGATTTTATTATTAAAAGCTTTATAAATACTTTACAATCTCTGAAATATAATTATAACATTTATTAATATTAAAAATTAAAAGATAACATAAACTGAATAGTAAAAATAAGAAGAAATTGTAAGAATTACTACAAAATAAAAATGTTTAATAATTAAGTTTGTATTACACAAACATTTAAATATAACCTAAAAGCTTAAACATATAATACATATGGATATAGAAAACATTTTTATGGAATTATAGATAATAAAATACAAATGTACTACTATTATGTATTTATAAACGTAAGAATTTTTATATAAACTCAAATAATGAAAAAAGAAATTGAAGTGCTATTTGAATGTAATCTTTGATATAATTTGATAAACGTATTTAAGTACCTTATAAAACAATATTGTTCATGTCAGAATATAACAATTATCGTCCTATTTTGTTGGTTAAATTGTTAGGGTTTGCTAGAAATAAAAGATAAAATCAAAATAAAAGCATGTGGAGATAATGCTTCTGTACTTATAGTATCTATACAACCGCAGATATCATTGACTATCTATAGTCCATAACTGCGACGCGCAGGTTGGTAGATGGTGGGGGAACGCAGCTAGCTCTCCGCTAATCGCGTTCCACTTCGTTTGGGAAGATCGCCAATCAGGGCGAAGATGCGCACGAAAGAACGAAAACTGGTCTTTCGGAGTTATGCGCTCTGGTGAACTACGTCCATGTATGTATGTATGTATGAATGTATGTTGAATCTTTAGCAGCTTTTTATATGTTTAAAAAGTATAGTATTTCAAAACAATGTATATATAATGTTATAAACACGTGTTTTATATTTTTATTTACATTAATAATATATAATATTCATGTTACATTATCTAAATTTCGAATTTCAAGTTCATATTATACCTTGTTGAACAATAAATCATTTGCATAGAGAGAAATATAATGGAAAGATAATTTGTTATTACTTGTAACACGTTTTAATAGGGCATGGTGAAAATATTCAATATCAACAGGGACATTTGTACATTACAAACAACTTCGGTTACCGATAGAAAAAAAAAATTTGAACGCAAATCCTAATAACAGTTCCTTGTCCCGTTTAGTTTATGCGTCTTCGAGATGGATACTAGCACGTATTCTCATGGTAATCAAAGTGTTCAAACCGTTGCACAGCGAAAGTTTTATCAGTGGGTACTTAAATGGATAAACGGTGTACACTCGAATACTGAATCAAACGGTGAAGAAATGCGTGATATTCGACACTCGGCGAAGCCAGATGTACGAATACTCGCTAGTTTCTTGCAAGCAATCGGTTTTAAACTTCTTTCGTTTGAAAAGCATCATGATGGGTATGCTCAAAAGAAGACGGAAAATGATGTCTCGTCATCTGAACAAGGAGTTCTTAGAGTTATAATTGAATGCGATACCTCAAATATGAAAGCAGTTTTGGAATTAGAAGGGATCACGTGTCGGTGCCCTAACTCCGATCATATTAAAGAAGCATCTTTTTGGAGTATAAGTGGTACCGGGCCTGTTGGAAGCACTGTAAGAACAGCAATTTCTATTCAATTTTGCATTGAGTATGTTTAATAAAGAAATATTTCTTTCAGGATAACATTATGCAAAAAGTAGAGGAGACAGGTAGTAATCTGATACCCCCTCTGTCAAAAGACGTTGCCCGACTTTTGCGTGATGTATCGTGCAAATTATTCGACACAATCGCGTACGAACCGGATGTCAATCGTAACACGGACGTAAGCTTAAATGTTTCGCGTTCAAGTAATGCATCTTGCGAACGGCAGAATGCTTCGAAAAAAGAAGTTGGAGTTACGCGAAGCCACACGCAACCGGAAATGCGTCTTAATACGAACAGTTTAAATTCAAAGGCGAGTATTTTATTTGTTTATATTTTATTCGAACCAATATTAGCAAATTAATGAATTTAATTTTGTAACGGCAGCGTCCCTTTGAAACTCATGAGAAAAATATAAACTCCGAGGCATCACAAATTCGAAATGAATCTACAGGGCAAGAAAATAAACCTCCTTTACAACGTCAAAGAACGTGGGACATTGATGCCGAAATACAAAATTTGGATGAAGAACCACGACCGTCACCTCCGAAGCTTACGAGTTCTCCTGCTATGATCGCTGAATTATCCAATTCGTTAGGGCAAATATCTCTACACAGCGATATTGACAATTCTAGAAATATAACAGAATACATTATAGGAGCAAAGGAGAATTTGGAAAAAGTACTTAAAATGTTGTTAGTCAAGAAACCAATGATTCTGAATGATTTATCACCTAATACAGGTAATTGTTTATATGATAAACATTTTTTTCAAACGTTATTTATAAAATTAATTTTTACATTAGATCAGGACAGCGCATCCGTGAAATCAGCACCGGCGAATGTATCACCAACTGCTGTCATCAGCCCTTACAAATCAACTCGAATGAATACAATGGATAATATTAAACTTTTACCAAAGCAAAACAATTTGACGCAAGAACAATTCTTAAAAATAACACGAGTACCGAAAGCACGACGCAGTATCGAGCCAATATTGTCCAGAAGGAATGAACAAGATAGTTCAAAGCTCGCCGCGGGTCGACGCAGTAGTTTTTATACCCCTTCGTCAGCTAATTCTAATATTTCATCACTTTCGAAACCGGAAATGAAACATAAATTGTTGGGTATCGGGAAGTACAATATTTCAAAAACTAGTAACGCAATTGAATCTGATATTTCGAACAGGTATAACTATTGTTTTGGATACATATCGTAACATTTATATGAAATAAATTTATTGCCATTTGCTTTTTTTATTTTAGGATTTCATTAACAACAAGAGTTGCTTCACCGGAGCCAAAAATTGGTACTTCCCCAAATGTGGAAACATCGAATGGACGTGCTTCATTGATAAAACCTCCCACAAAAATTATAAAATCGATACCCGTTAAAATAAAGCCAGTTCAATCTTCGAAAATAAACACAGGAATTGTTAAGAAGCCAAGAGTCAGCCTTCCGAAGGATTGAACTATTTGATTATTTATATTATTTAATTTGTAGACATTTTCATACTATTTAATCATTTTAAACGAAGATTCGTTCAGATGTTTTATTTTTTTTTCTTAAGTATTGAAATACATTATTATCTGTGAGTGTAATGATGCAAATGGATTAAAATATTTTCTTACTACAAAATGTATATTCATTTTTGCCAGTCATTTTGTGCATTCTGCGTTTCAAGGGTATGGTGAATTAGAAATTACATCAAAGCTGCAGGATCGCGGGATCCTTTGGAAAAAAAAGAATCAAAGAAAACTAAAGAGCTCGATGAATGTACCGCGAAACAAACATAAAATGTGTTTGCTCGAAAAAATTTATAACTCCCGAAATCGTAGCGTTCAGCTCGGTATCGTTTTCTAACAACTATTTTCTAATAAATGTTTAGACGACGATACCGATTACCAGGTCACACCACGTGGAGGTGGCTACGAGAGTGACCCACACTAACATCTAGTCTCGATTGAGAAATTTTGTATTCACAAACATTAAATCAGCGCAAATCTCAAAAAATATCAAAATAATTGTTTGACAAACTTGCATTTTAAAAAGAACGCCATAAATTAAAATTTTTTAAAATTCTATCCTATCGCCATCTATACGAAATCGGCTGAAACTACTCGACAACTTACCGAAGCTACTTACCGACTTACCATAGTTTCCGCTGTTCTCCGATAGTCGGCGCTAGTGTTCCCCTGTTTCAGAAAATCGATCGATAAGTTGTTGAGTAGTTTGAGCCACTTTTGGAGAGATGGCGCTAGGATCGAATTTAAAAAAATTTAATTTATGGCGGTCTTTTTGAAATGCAAGTTTATCAAACCATTATTTTAATGGTTTAATTAAGTCTTGTGTTGACTTTGACTGATTTCTAGAAAATAGAATCGATGGGAATCATAATTGTATGTTTTCGTTTAACATGTCCCTGGAGATGTGGTAAAATAAGTACGACTGTCATTTTTACTGCGCACCTAACCCGATCTAGGGGTCTCTGACACCCCAAAGCATGACCCCTGAAGAGCAATGAAATGTCCCGTCCGTCCCGTCTTTTTGTATCTGTAGTCACTGCTACTGCTTTTGATTACTGTGCTCTTTTTGATGGCGGTTGGAGTTTAGTTTTCAATCATGTCTTCAGTACTTGTGCCTGAAATTCCTGCACCCGGATTTTCTTTTGACTTTTGTCAAAGGTACTTTATAGTTTCAAAGTTATATTATTTAAAAATATTGTATTACTAACATAGATAGTTATGGAAACTATTTTCTGATATATAACCTATCATGAGTTAATATTGCTGTGTCATTTATCATTAACACACATTTTTGAAATAAATTTTATTTATGATTGTTATGAGATTTGTTTAGTGAATTCATCTAGGTATATGTTTTTCTAGAAACAATTTTTTGATAAAGAAAGGATTGCAAGCACCTAAAGCTGTTAAAACAGGAACAACAATTGCTGGAATTGTTTACAAAGATGGAGTTGTTCTTGGTGGTGATACAAGATCAACAGAGGATACCATAGTTGCTGACAAAAACTGTAGCAAAATTCATTATCTTGCTCAAAATATGTAGTGAGTACTGTAGCTCACAATTCTTTTTCATAACATTAGACAGTACCAAAATGTTTGACAATTATTTTAAAGTTGCTGTGGTGCTGGAACTGCAGCTGATACAGAGATGACAACTCAGATGATATCCAGTCAATTGGAGTTACATCGTTTAAATACTGGTCGTACGGTACCAGTTTGCACTGCCAATGCAATGATTAAGCAATTATTGTTTCGTTATCAAGGCAATATTGGAGCAGCCTTAATATTGGGAGGTGTTGATTTAGATGGACCACATTTATTTTGTATTTATCCTCATGGATCTTCAGATAAACATATGTACACTAGCATGGGCACAGGATCACTAGCTGCAATGGCTGTATTTGAGAGTAGATGGAAACCTAATATGGCGGTAAGATATTTTTATGCTATAAATTTTGTAATTAATTTATATTTTGATATCATTATTTGATTTTCAAACATGTATGTTCAGGAAGAGGAAGCTAAAGAGCTAGTTGCGGACGCTATCCGTGCTGGTGTATTTAATGATTTGGCTTCTGGTTCTAATGTAGACCTGTGTGTGATACGCAAAGGTTCCGTCGATTATTTACGCCCCTATGATGTTGCTAATGTCAAGGGACAGCGTACTATATCTTACCGATATAAACACGGTACAACTGCTATACTTGATAAAACAGTTCACCCTATAATTATTCAAGGAGAAACTATCCGCAGAGTCGAAACAGAACCGATGGATGTATCATCATGAAATATATATTGAATACTTTTAAATCTATGTTCAAATGTGAATTTTTAATAAATAGCAGTAATTATGATACTTGAATTTGTAAAGTTCTACTCTTGTATTTCTTTCAATGAATAAATTTAATTCCAAACACTGAAGTATAAAGATTGTCTTTGTGTTTTGATTATAATAACTATGGTACAAAAGCTTAAAATCTACGAATAAGTGTTAAAAAAGCCCAGCTGATTGCTTGAGCCTTTGCCTTTTCCAACCAGGAAGTTTTACAAACTCGTCAGGTTGCATCTTAAAAATTGCAATGAAGTTATCAAAAGTAAGATGCATTTCTTTACGAACAACATCGACACCGGGCGGCAAATTTTCCGGATCATTTTTCAAAACAGAAAGAGGATATTTTACATAACTGTCGAAGTCGCTCGATGATTTTGATAACGTTTGTATCTTAGGCACTGATTCCTTGTCTTGTAAGAGAGTGCAAAACGTTTCAAACGATTTGTATTCTCTTAGTAAATTATAGTTCCAATTATCGAAAAGTCCTATAAACGTTGAAGGTTCTATTCCTAGAAAACGCAAGACAATTATTTTATTACAATATTTTCATAGACGTATGATATTACTGTACCTTGTTTAATCACAGAGATTGTTGTATTTCGATCTCGACCAGCTGGATGATTGTACAGAAATGTAATTGCATCTTGTATACAATCTTTCAACGATTTAGGAGCGGAAAACTTTCCAATCCAAATCCATATCACGTTACCAGCATCCAGCAACCAACTAGCTTCTGGAAGAAGATTATTCTGACTATATCCAAGAATTTCTTCACCAACGAATGTTTCGCATTCTGTTAAACACTGGTACAGGTGTTTCTCAAACTCTTCTCCATCATCAACCGTTTCTGTGATATAAGTGCCTTTGCCTTGTGGAAGTAAAAGTATTAGATTAATGAATCAAGTGAAATATTAAAACAAACGAAGAAGAAGTATATGCAACCTCCGATTTCCGCCCAGAATTCATCATCCTCGTTATTCTCAATCATCAGAATTGCATTTCTGGGTGCAAGTCGTCTGGATGCTTGTCTAGCATCTCCGGTACTTTTACCACCGCACCAGACTACAGGCGTGTTACAAAACAGAATAAAAACTCCACTGGAATCGAGGCTGCTGGCTCTGAGAGGTCGTTCGACAGCTTTGGAAGTGTAAGGAGTTGATCCGAAAACTTTAACGAGATACTTCTCAGGTGCTGCAAAAGAGAGATTGCAAAGAATCTTCATAGAAAGTGAAAACAATGGAAAGTTCATTAGTGGCTTACGAGAATCACGATGTTCTCCAGCTAATATCTTCAATTTCCCATCATAAATTTGCAGTAGATGATGTGGTTCTCTACCCTGGCATGCTTTTACCAATTGTCCAGAAGTGTCTTCCGCCAAACGACAAGCTGTTTCCAAAGCGGCCTCTCTATCCGCGTTCATAGAATGAACACCTTCCCAACAGTACACCTGAAACATCGTCGTTGTATCAATTTAACATTTACACAATTTCTTCTTCGCACATGTAAATGAACGTACGATGGTTTTACTCCTGCGACCTTGACCGTACTTGTAACACATTACGTAACAGGCTTCCGCATAATATATTCCTTTATCCTCCAGCTGAACCATTCCCTCTTTACGGCTCACTCTCCAAAGTGTTCTTTCACCTGATCCGTCGTCAACCAGTTGGCATTCAGCTGCCATTTTAGGCCTCTCGTTCATGTAATCAGGCTCGAAGTTCACAGGTAAAGTAAGCGGTCTGGTTTTCGTTGTTTCCCATCCCCTGACCAACGCCTTCATCTCTACGGGTTCCTGGGTCTCGACCGCTCTCTCAACGGACACACCGTTGCTATAATTCTTCTTCTTAACGAATCCACGCGCATTGCGGATGGCTTCCAACTTTTCTCGAGCATTCGCATTGCGCCCGACCCATGCCCAGACACCGGCCTCACCGCGGTCGATCAGATACACGGACTCGGAGGTGAGATCCGTGCGGAGAATCGGTCCAGATTTTAATTCCGCGACTTTGTATTTACCAGACTGCTCGCTGCATCTGTACAGTTTCACGGGACTTGGGACGTTGACCCTGTAAGGACGATCAGGCTTCACTATCCTGGTAGATGGGTCTAAAATGCTGTCGAACAGGTGTCTGTCTGTTTCGGGTAGCGTTTGCTCGTAACCATCGTCGACAATTACGATGCGACCATTGTTGTTTCCTTTTCTTGACTCTAGGATGCTGACTGCGTGCCGTTTGTGCAGTGGGTCTGATAGTGAACCCAGCCATAGAAACACAATCCCCCTGTTTTAATACCATAACATATTTGATTTTAATAATAATTCAATGTATATGAAATGGTGTTAAGGATAAAGGTAAAAGGAGAAATTTGTCAACATTTGTCTTCTACTTTGAGAGAGCCTAATCTATAATCTTCTGTTACCCAACTTTCATTTACCCAAGAGAGGTTTAAATTACACCTCATTTCGTTATTTTAAATCCACCCATTGTTAAACAAGATCATTAGCGCAAGATTAGTCTGATACGAACAATGGAATTAAGGCTGGATTGTTAGGAAATCAGCATTAGTGAAATGAATCATTAATTCAACAAGATTATTAGTCACTCGATGCAGCAATATCTGGTTTACTCACTTGGATAAAACGTCCACGAGAATAACATCTCGCGAACTGAAATGGTCCCAATGAACCTTTTCCAGTTCGGTCAGAACGGGAACCGCGACGCCTGTTATTCGGTGCAACGTGCACGATGGTGTTTCGAAATGAAAATTCTCGATAACGAGACGTTGCCGGAAGTATGCCAAGAATCTTGGACTTTCGCGGCCTTGTGCTTCCCTTGATAAAATCGTAGCGGATACTTGAGAGTCTAGTTCGGCCGCTCGAAGGGCGGCTGCCCCTGAAATCGTGGAATCACAGGTGGATCCGATCCAGAAGTGAATGACACGGACAATCGGGGTGGATTTTAATTCTTTCACCTGTTAATGAATTATATTTATTTTATTAGATATTTCGTATACTATACATTCATTTTATTTTAATTCCCACAAATCTTAATTAAGTTTAAATTGAAAAGGCTGAAAAAAATTAGAGAATGAAATAAAATAAAATTACCGGCATTCCAGGATAAGGAAGTGGACCGTCTTTCAGTGAAACCGCGTAGATGATATACGCCAACTCCGAGAGGAAATATCCCATATTACTTCCTGTGACGGCTGTAACTCGCAAACCCTGTTGCGCGAACATTAAAAGGCAATTTCGTATTTCACACTTTCACCCTTTTAACTGCTTCAAATAATAACAAAAAAATGGCAATTAATTTTTTCTTTTCGACTGTTACGCTACCTCAATCTTCCAAACGCGAAAGGTGCTGCTGTTCCTGGGGACATTCTTGAACACTTCACCGTTAGAGTCATCCGAACGGCAACTCCTGTCGTCCTGCGGTGCATCAAATTTAAAAAAAAGAAAGCATTAAATACTTTGAACGAGTTTTACGCGAACGATATTACGGTTAATTCTGTTTCACGTTCAAACGAGTTCTTAGAGTGCTTTTTCTTTGCTCGCTCCTGAAACTTTGCCCGTAACATTATTATCAGGATTAGTAATTTCAGGAGTGTGCGATATCGGGGAAAAAGTAGAAAACAACGATCAATGAAATGATAGTTTCAATAACTCGTGAGATAACGCGGTGCCAGCTTTCATTTCCTTTGACACGTATCAATACACTCTTTTTACTTTTCATTTTTGAATTTACCTGTCTACACAAGTAATAACACAAATTTTTATTTTACAATTACAATTCTATACTATCAAAATTTCACAGAGCGACACGGTATCATTGTAACACATTCTTCTCACGCTTTCTTCCTTCAATTCCCTATTGTATTCCCTAATTACACACCGTTTCTTCGATCTTTCCCGATGGCTCTGACATATCACTTGGATACAATCGATCGATCCTTTATTAATTATTTAAAATTCGAGCGAACGCCGGCTCTCGGAATGACGGATGCGAGCGTGAATTTCGCAACGGAGAAACACGATCGTTGGACTCGCACCGAACGGTTGCTGGCAGAAAACTAGGGTATGAGAACTCGCGAGACCGAGGTCCTCGGGAGGACTTAATCACAGGTGATCCGCAATCGTTCGTGCGCGCGTATGTGTGGGAACACATTCGCACGTATATCGTACATAATCGTAGCTGAGCTGTGTGAAAATACAATTTGCGAAACCTAATCCTTACTTTTATCGGGGATTAATTGCCGTGTTATTTTCACGGTCAATGATGTTTCCACTCAGCAGGATATACACATAGGAATAAGTGTTACGACGAAACGGATGTACAGAAATATATGTATTGTTTTCGTATAGGTGCGTGGACGCGGCACAGTTTAACGCGTTAATGTATCCAGGGGGTCATCAAAGTCTCGAATTTTGCGGAGAAGACAAATTTCGAATAGAAAAAAAGAGTGTAATTAAAATTTTAATTATAGGTCGAAATAATAAAGAAATTTAAATCTTTCAATATGTGATTGATGATGAATCTATGAATAAATCATTATAATGCTATTGAACTAATTTCTTTCGTGTCTTTCCCTCGCGTGTTTCGTTTCGACTTAAAATTAATTGCTCCACGCTTTCTTAGACGCGCGTTGCGTTATCCTCTTTTAACTAGGAATATTTCAGCACCGGTGATGTAACAGGCTGTTTACCCTTCCAGCTTGCGCGCAGATTGCAGTTAGCGCATAGAAACCTGCTCATCAATGTAGGTGATGCAAAGTGCAACGATCGTACGAGCCATTGTTTTTGCAGATGTATCTTCGCGTTCATTCATGCCCACACGTTGTCTTCATATGTATGCACGTTTATTGTTCGCGTTTCGTCTGCGACGATCATTTGCGGCAGGAAGTGGTGACTACACTGCTGCACGCCCACCTCGTCGTCCGCGATGATGTTCCGTTGCTAAAGTTTCGAGGAAATGAAAATCTGTGGTTGTTGAACTTAAGAAAATTTTGGCGGGTTTCTTTACGTTGTTCCCTTTCGATTTTCTGATCGACGCATTGATTGCTATGAGATCACTGTTGACCTCATTACGATATGCTTATCGTAAGTACACTTGATTTCCATTCAGAAATCAAGTTTCCCGAAACAAAAGATTTAATGTAAATTTTTAAAGAAAAAAAAAAATAAATAAATGATCGATCACTTTAATGGTCAATAAATGCCACTATGGTATTTCTGGTACCAGTTACGCGATAGTTACGCTTTTCTGCAGACTCACCCGTCTAGAGAAATCCATTCTTCTCTCCCTGTTTATCCTTCGGGCGATTTAAAGGAACGCATGTACGATCCCGTGGCGATATGCGCGAAGAAGCAAGGAGAAGGTGTATGCCACGAGGTAACACCGGCTAACTGTACGCTGATAGAACTGAAACGATGCGTTCTTGAGTTAAAAAAGAAACCGTACCGGTGCGGACACGTCCGGAAGTGGGCCCGGAACTCCGGTCGGCCAGCCGTGACCACCGAGGACTTTATGAATACGCGTTGAGCCATGCGGGCATCGGTTCTATCTCGCATACATCTCGTTAGGGAACACCTGTCCTGTACCTTTCCAAGCGTCATCTCGCGTCCTTTACAATCTAGCTTTGCTTTTTTTCTTTTCTTAGCTCGAATAACGGATACACCATAACGATTGCAATAATTGGTCTCCTTTTAGAGGAAGATCAAGAGCGTGGCTTAGGAATGCGTTTATGATATTTGCTTACGATATAAACGACTTGATATGGACAGTATGAAACATGTTTTGTTTTCCTTCTCTGCAAAAAGAGATTATGCGGATAAAGAGTAATTGGGTTTATAGGCAGATGTAATATTAGATAGATTAAGCGTGACAGACATTTCCTCATCTTTAGAAGTACAAAGCTGTTTGAATTTTTGAAGTATTTATAAATCTATATTGTTATGTTTAAGGAAATGTTTGTTCCTCTTAATTTTGTATTAGAGCGCGGATTTTAAAAATGGTACCACCAGTGCCATCTAAGAGCGAATGGCGGAACTAACGAAACAGAAAGTTGTTTTTATTTGGAAAATTTATATTTTATTGATATGCATGATTGCAGAATACTCTATGTATGCCAATAAAGCACAAATATTCCTTATTTTGAAAAAATAGCAATTTTCTACTTTGTTAGCTTCATCACTCAATGTTAGATGGTGCCAGCAACGCCATTTTCAAAGCGCCCTTTTATTTGAAATTCCAAAAATAATTTTGATAACTGACTCACCCTGTAGATAGGCTTGAACAATTACACGACAGTCGCTCATTTATTACAACCTTACTACAGCGTTGTTTCATAGCCGAAATGGAATCTGTCAGTTAATTTTTACAAAATACAAGACATTTCTTAACTTTCTTTTATATGGCGTAGGGGAAGAAACTGATGGACTGGAAAAACGATGAGTCTGATCATTCCAGTGGTTTGTTTCTCTCATTTCACGCATTCCTATATTTCATGGAGGTTTAATTACACATTTGTTTCTTATGAGTAGTTGAGAATTTGGCATGGGATGAGAGAAATATCTTGTCAAAGACTATGAGCGATATATGCCTGTCGGGCGCCCTTGGATGCAATGTCTGTTCTCAAGGAGTACAGGTTTAGATAGTTGTTAACGTTGTAATATTCTTCATTTGTACGAAGAAAAATAAATTTTAATATCAGGCAAACTTTGGTAAGTGCAAGGAATCAAGGAGCTTCACATCGGCCCTTGAACGTTTAGAGTTAGAGGCAGAAACTGAATACAGAAGGGATCCAATACCGATTCGACGAACGAGCGATGCCCAGACTGAACCATCCGAGGACACGGAACAAGAATTATATGACTTAAACCCCAGAGATGTATTGTCTTGTCGGAAAGCTCTTCAACATTCCAATATTCTGAATTTCCAAGTACGATCTGTAGATCTATCTGATGATCGGTATTCACTGTTGATAAATTTTGGAATGCTTTAGGGCGTTATGCATCCCCCGGAAGATATTGCTCCCTACTGGAAGAAAGACTCACGGATGTGGCTTTGGAAATCTGTGAGACTCATGCGAAAAAGAAATAAATCTAAGTCTTCGAATAATACGTGTGCTATAAATAATGAAAACGAAGAGAAGAAGTAACATAAATATTATTTACAATTTTAGACGTATAGCTCCTTACACCTTAACCATTGTATTGCTGACTGAATTGATTCCACTTTTTGATATGATTTATATTGCATTGAACAATAAGTGAACCCTATTGATAAGATATTTTAGTTTTTATATTATATTTATATTAATTTTCAAGTCCGCTATAACGAGTTATGAACAATAAAAAAAATGCGACAGTTCAGTACATTACTTACACTAAAGTAATAAACGAATATAATGCGTGTATATCTTTTACCGTGAAAAAGCAACAGTACATTTGTTTAACATATGTACAAAATTTTTTAGTAAGGAGGTTGTTCTGTATTTCAACCACAAGTTTCCACGGAATCTAATGCTTGTTTGTTGTTAAATGTTTCACCCATTTCGAAGCGTACGAAATCCAAAATTTCAGCTTGTTCACTTTGCAACAACTGTTGGACAGATAAAGAAGGATCAAGTAAGAATTCTTGATATAACATAATAGGTTCATCATCTATGTTTTCATTGGGTGTATCAACTTTTGCATCTCCAACCTTGATTGGGTTCATACCTAATATTGAAACGCATATTGTTAATAAAAAATACATTTTTATAAGTAATGGTGAATAAATCTATAAACTTAATTTACCAATAACATGTTGGCAAAGTTGCATTCCTAAAACTTCGTTTTTCTTGTTAGATTTTAAAGCCACCAGTGCCCCATACCGTCCATAAGACGACGGTAATGGATTTAAAGGAGCAGGATGAGTGCAACCATATAAATATACACCTGGTTGAACGCTCATGCACAGTGCGCGTCTTATATTAATATTTTCTCCCACAGTTCCAATAGTTAAAGCAGAATGGTCACCTAAGCTTTTACCATCATTTGCAACCAACTCATTTATAGACTCTGGATCCAACATGGTTTTATTGACCAGTGAACTCTGTTCAAGTGACATTCCTTGTTTTAACACAGTGGTAAGTACAGTTTCTGCCAGATCATGAAACTTGTTGTTTCTTGCAACAAAATCTGTCTCACAGTTTATTTCCACAAGTGCTCCATATTTGTCATTAGTAATCATTGCTATTAATCCTTGGGAAGTTATTCTGGATTGTAATTTTGTTGCTTGAACCCAACCTTGGGCTTGAGCTTGTTCATTCAGCCATTGTTCAGCCTATAATGTTGATAAAAATTACCACTGTTCTTATACACATTGCATATCAATAAATTTCTTACTTTTTCCATGTCATTTTCATGTATTTCTAATGCCTTTTTACAGTTCACGAACGTGTAGCCAGTTTTCTTGCGTAACTTGCTCAATAATGTCTTTTTTGATCCATAGCAAAGTAAATAATTTGTATGTATGGTGCGAAATAATTGACGTCGAATCATCTGAAACACGTCATTTGTAGCGTTATTTCATATACTTAAAGAAAAACTGAGTTTTACATTAGTAAAACCTAACCTAGAAATGCATAAGTATTATATCGATTATTACATTAATTAAAGCAATGATATTACAATAATGTCATTCTAAAGAAAATATTTCATTCTAAAAATTGTATAAATCCCATAGAAATCGATTAATTACGTTGCCTGGAAACTGCAGTCACTTGCAATCACGGGTGTTAGTCTGTTCACCAGTTAATGATGTTAAATGGACAGAAACAGCATTTCTAAGTCATTTAAACATAGTGCAAGATACTTGTTTATGTCAGAAAGTTTAACATTATTAAGGGAATATTGTTCAACAATATACTTACTGTGTACACGATTTAAACGTCGAGATGTAACATTTAACCAGCGAAATCTACATATATCCGAAAGTGGCGCCTTCTGCGGTTACTAAAAGTTCGATTGCAAGGTAGTACAAAAATCAAATTTTCAAAGTTATATAATTTTATTTATTCAATTATACTGTTCATAATTGTTTAAATTCATTGTGATAACTTAATTGCAAGCAAATATGCAATTTTAAGTTACATTTTTCATTTATTCAATAGCGTGTTGCAATAAATAATCTCAGGATGGAATGCGACTGCGACGATGTATCCTCTTGCGAGGGTATTTCGCATCCGGTGACTCGGAAAAAGGGCACCAAAAATGTTTTAATGCTATCAAACATTGTCGATACAAAAATTGAGCCATTATTTTGTTTGCCACCACATTTAATGAAATGTAAACTATGTAAAAGAAAATACAAAGAACAACTGGAACGTAAACGTCAAGAAACTTATACAGGGAAACGATTGAAAACAGAAAACTTTCGTAGGTTAGTTAGATTCTTTAATGATTTTGAATTCCTGTTAAAATTAACAGCTTGATGCCTCTATTTAAATTTTGCAAAGTTACCTTTCTCTTTATAGCAATTATACAAGGTGTATAATTGACTATAAACAAATTTCATTAGGCAAAAATAAATGGCGTCGAATGGAACATCACATGATACCTATGTTTGTTGGTACCGGAAGTGGAGGCGTTCCAAAATTAAAATTTTCTTTATTTCATTCGCAGATTTGTAGTCAGTCTCGTTGTTAAGCCGAAGCTAGAAACAGCAAATATAGATTTAAGTAACGATCAAGAGGTGAACCGATATTATAATTACATCTGCGACGGGGCCGATACTATCCACACGGTACAGATTCAAGATGACGTGATAGAGAAGATATTGAATTTAGTCCCGTACCGTTTGACGGACCGTTTCAATTACTGCACGGAAAGTCTACTGATCGAGATCAAAGATATTTTTACTAGGAACATCAAGAAAGCGATATTGGAACATGCTCTGAAAAATCCTCTCCAGGAAGATTCACGCGCGGTTTGATGAAAAAGTTCCATAGATCCTACGGGATCTCGTAAAGTATCTCATAAAGGCACATTTTTTTGTTTCAACAGGTAGAAGAAGGAACCAAAGTGGACGAGATAAAGCGTGTTTTCCCTTATTTAACGGCTCGAATTTGCAAGTACCGTGAAACTTTTCGAGACAATTTGTTCTTGTTAAATCCATGCATGAAGATGACTTTGGAACAATGGGTTTGCCGTTTTCTGTAAGAAAATCTTGTGTTTATGGTCCTTCCTCCTTCGCGGCGTTAAACGAATCTTTTTTCCAGGGATTTTCGATTGATCGACTTGAAAGATATCGCAGAACATAAGAGCTGTTGGGATTTGACAGAATTTAAAGAGACGGTTTTCCGTCAAATAAGGAGAGCAAGATCGACCCTGGTTAATTCTTGGTACGATGGCATACAAAATATATTTCTTGTGGTAAATATATCGATAACTACTCACAGTTCTTCCCTTTGTTTCTTCAGGTGTTACATCTTCTTTTTGTTTTTCTTTTTTAGAATAATAGAAAGAAGCTGGTTCCCAGTCCATTGCAACGCGTACGATTTAGAAGATTCTTTGGATGCACTACGAAAATGATGGAAACGCAGCTTTTGTACACATGTAACCATAGTTTGGACGATATTATGAAGTTCATCATTTTTGGCAAGGTAAATTGCATATTTTAGATGATTCGAAAGAACAATGGGATAATTGTTCGTTTTTATTGCAGCCAGTCAAGTGTGTATTTAACTTGAATATAGTTGTTCGTTCCAATGAGCTCACGTTTGACCCATCCTTCGACGATTTTAAGATGGATCTCTGCAGCATTTTGGACCGCTTATGCGATGCTATTCGACAATTTGACAAATTAGAGACCCAGCTTTATTTGGATTGGTCTGGTTCACGAGATTTCTTAAAAGTATTATTATTGACTTACTATTCCAGTTCCGCTCGTTAATTCCTTATTTTTCATTCAACATTTATCATAAATCTTTGAAACTTAGCCAAAAATATGGGAACCCAGAGTGGAGAAACTCAAAGAGGATATCGTTGATTTGATCGAGCGAGAGAAGTTGATTCCCATAAAGCTATTGAATAAATTACAGATGTAATTATCAAAGACGGAAAAATCGTTTGCATCGTGCAATTTACGTTACAATTTTTCGCAGATACGAACGTTTTTATAACGAAGAAGAGTACGGTAAGATGGAAATATTCATAAAGGACGAGAACAAGACACTGGAGGAATACGAGAACATGATCAAGTATTATCATGATTTTATGATGAATATACCAATAAAAATCAAAAGGACAGAGTTTTGTGGATTGTTCGAGGTGTCTCGAAAGTGTTTCATCGAAACGATCGTTGAGAACGTTGGTCGTATAAAAGATCTTCTTACAGACAAGCTGGTGAGCAACTATCAGAACGCAGCTAAGAAGTGAGTCTCCTGTTTATACTTCCGATATATTCGAAGAAAGTATAATTATGGAATTGTAATTAAAATAACGGTTTAGAGTTGCCGAGGAATACGAGAGCATAGCCGAGCGTGCCTTGAGCATACCCGTCGACACAGCTAGTCTGATGGAGCTTAAAAGGTTCATTCAAATCGTTATAGAAGTTTCCATGAAGAACCTAGAGAACCAGCTTTGCGACATAATGGAGCACATCCTTATGTTGTCCGATTATCGTCTGCTGACCGATACTGAGATAAACGTGAACAACGAGGCTTTCCAGTGGTACCACAATATACCTCAAGTTTTGGACGAAAATGAAACGATCATCGCGAACAAGACGATAGAATTTCAGGATGCTTTGAGAGGTGTATAAACATCAGGGACGCGTTAATTAAGACAACGATGTAATTCCTTCTTTTATCTTTCGATAGTTAGGTATCAGAGATTCCACGAGGAATTAGAGTCTTATGCGAAGCAAGTAGAAGAGATGCAATATTGGAGCGACATTGTTGAGGTATTCAAGTACCAGAAGAGAGCACAGGTACTGGAGAACAGATTGATCGCTGCCATGGAGAAGATCGACAAGTTTAACGAAGAGGAAGCTGCGTTCGGCTGGGAAGTCACGCAGTATCCTCGTCGCAAGGAAATAGCCGATCAATTGAAACCCTTTAAACAGCTGTTCGACTCGATCTGCGATTTCTTGAACAAGCACGATCAATGGATGAACTCGATGATCGGCTCTTTCGATCCTGAACAGATAGACAACGACGTGGGATACGCGTACAGGTGGTACATTATTGTTTTCTTACTTAATCCTTTGATTAATGATCAATGAAACTTGAACAGAACGATCTACAAACTGGAGAAATATTTCCAAGAGCCGGATCTGAAGAATCTGGCAGCCTCGGTGCGGGAGAAGATCGAGAAGTTCAGAGAACATATGCCTATCATTTATACTCTGGGTAATCCTGGATTAAAGGCTCGTCATTGGGAACAAATATCGACGATCATCGACATTCCAATAAAAGTCGACGAGGACTTAACGTTGGCAAAGATCCTGGAGATGGGCCTAGCCGTGTTTGCCGATAGGTTCGAGAGTATTTCGGACAACGCCTCTAAAGAGAGCACATTGGAAAGGGGTATGGACAAGATGGAGAGGGACTGGGCCGATTTGTCTTTCACCGTGAACCCTTTCAAGGACACTGGGACATACGTAATCGCGGGTGTCGATGATATACAATTACTTCTGGACGATCATATCGTTAAAACCGTCACCATCAAGAATTCGCCGAATATAAAACCGTTCGAGGCGAGGATACTGTAAGCAAGTTCGTTGTAATTAAGAACGGAGGTTTATAAGTTGTTCCATCTTTTTTGCATGGCACAGATCTTGATTTAGTTTCTCGTAGAATACCGAGTTATCTTTATAAGCTGCCGTTCCATGTAACGAGAACGTTACCGAGAATTAGGTGAAATTAATTGTTTCCTGGGACGAACAGGATGTGGGAGAACAAGCTGCACCTGCTGCAAGATATTCTCGATCAATGGTTACGCGTACAAGGTATTTGGATGTATTTGGAGCCGATCTTCTCGTCGCCTGATATCCAACAACAAATGCCAGAGGAAGGTAGAAAGTTCTCGGCTGTGGACAAAACTTGGCGCGACATCATGAAGACTGTCCACGCTGATCCTCGTGTTCTCTCCGTCGTCGAGATCGATAAGATGTTAGAACGATTGAAGAAGAGTTTTGGTTTGCTCGAGGATATACAGAGGGGGTTGAACGATTATCTCGAGAAGAAACGTCTCTTCTTCACGAGATTCTTCTTTTTGTCGAACGACGAGCTATTAGAAATCCTTTCGGAGACCAAGGATCCTACTCGGTAATTAATAACGAACCGTTAAACAATTAGTAGAAACTATAAGGTAATGCTGAAATTTCAGCGTTCAACCTCACTTGAAGAAATGTTTCGAGGGAATAGACAGGCTGAAGTTCAACGAGGAGCTCGAAGTGTTGGCGATGAGGTCAACGGAGGACGAAGAGGTTGATCTCGTGGACACGATATCCACTGCCGCTGCCAGAGGACAAGTGGAGAAATGGTTGATCGAACTGGAAACAATAATGCGTAAAAGCGTGCGATACGTGGTGGAACAGGCGATACTTGCGTATCCCACTAAACCAAGGAGGATCTGGGTGTTGGAATGGCCCGGTCAGACGATCCTCTGCGTTGGTAAAACCTACTGGACCCTACGTATAGAAGAATCAATGTTATCCGGTGTGATAGGTTTGGAGAGATATCTGGACCAGTGTCAGACCGAACTGAACGAGATTATATTGTTGATCAGAGGCAAACTGCCGAAACAAAGTCGCATTACCTTAGGTGATTAGGGGATGACGCCTCGATCCTCGATGTTAAAATGGTTTTTCAAAAAATCACGTTAATTTATAATTACAGAGGCCTTGGTTACACTGGACGTTCATGGGAAAGACGTGCTCGCGACTCTTTACAAAGACGAAGTAATTAAAAACACGGACTTCAGATGGTTGTGCCATTTGCGTTACTACTGGCTGGTCAGACACGAGTATCCTATATCAGAAGCAAGAATCATACTAATGTTACATTTATTGTAATTAAGATATCTGTTCCAGGAGGAGAACATGTGGGCGTACATGATAAATTCGAGCCAACGATACGGTTACGAATACCTAGGCAATTCCTCAAGATTGGTGATCACCCCTCTGACCGATCGGTGCTACCGAACACTGTTCGGCGCGTTGAGCCTCCATCTCGGTGGAGCACCGGAAGGCCCGGCCGGAACTGGTAAAACGGAAACGACCAAGGATCTCGCGAAGGCGGTGGCCAAACAATGCGTCGTATTCAATTGTTCCGAGGGTTTGGATTATCTGGCATTGGGAAAATTCTTCAAAGGACTCGCTTCATGCGGCGCGTGGTCCTGTTTCGACGAGTTCAACCGGATCGATCTGGAAGTGTTGTCCGTGGTAGCACAACAGATATTGACTATTCAACGCGCCATAAACAGCGGCGCCGAGAAGATGGTATTCGAAGGAACGGAGATCTTCTTGGACCCGTCGTGCGCGATTTTCATCACCATGAATCCCGGTTACGCCGGTAGATCCGAGTTACCGGACAATCTGAAGGCGTTGTTCCGTCCCGTGGCCATGATGGTACCCGATTACGCGTTGATCGCCGAGAATACCCTTTATTCGTACGGTTTCTACAACGGCAGGCCTCTGGCCGTGAAGATCGTCACCGCTTACAGGCTGTGCTCGGAACAGTTGAGCAGTCAGCATCATTACGATTACGGTATGAGGGCTGTCAAGTCTGTGCTGATCGCAGCTGGCAATCTGAAGCTGAGATATCCCGAGGAATCCGAGGATATACTGATGCTGAGGAGTATACTCGACGTGAATTTGCCCAAGTTCCTCGTTCACGATCTGCCGCTGTTCGAGGGTATCGCCTCGGATCTGTTCCCCGGCGTCGTTCTTCCGACACCTGATTACACTCACCTGAACGCGTGCACGAAGGAAGCGTGCGACGCGGCTAATATCCAATGCACCGATTTCTTCCTGCAGAAGATCCAACAGATATACGAGATGATGATCGTCAGACACGGTTTCATGATAGTTGGTCTGCCGTTCGGGGGCAAGACGTCCGCGTACAGGATGCTGGCCAGTTGTCTAGGCTTACTGGAGGAACGAGGACTGATGGAGGAACACAGGGTGGAGATAACGGTTATCAATCCGAAAGCGATCACCATGGGCCAATTATACGGTCAGTTCGATCCGGCCTCGCACGAATGGAGCGACGGCGTGCTGGCTGTCAGCTACAGAGCATTCGCAACGTCCACCAACTCGAATAGGAAGTGGTTGGTGTTCGACGGACCGGTCGACGCCCTTTGGATCGAGAACATGAACACAGTGTTGGACGACAATAAAAAGCTTTGTTTGACCTCCGGGGAAATAATACAGCTGTCACCCACTACGAATCTGATCTTCGAACCGATGGACTTGGAGGTGAGTACGGATTTAATAGGTCATACTTGATGGCTCGTTATTCTTGAACGGTTAATTGGAATTCAGGTCGCATCACCGGCGACCGTGTCGAGGTGCGGTATGATTTACATGGAGCCTGTCAGCCTTGGTTGGACACCGCTTTTAACTTCCTGGTTGAACACTTTACCATCTACCTTCACCGAGCACATTAAAATTCATTTACACGAAATGTATGCTAGGTTCTGTCCACCTCTTCTGCGTCTACTTGGTCGATTCGAAGTGAAGGTTCGATAGAAACGTCTTTCATAAACATATCAATTTAAACTGTCTGAACAATTTCCTCTGTTATTTCTAGGAGTTGATTAAAATGCCAGAGGCGAACGTGATTAGGTCGCTGATGTATCTGTTCGATTGTTTCCTCGACGATTTCCACGATGAGAAGTATCTTCATACCTTATCGGATCTAGACATGAGGGCGCAGATAGAGGTAAAACGTGTTATCCTCGATTTGTTGCTTCAACGAAATACGAATTCTCAAATTATATCCTGGCCTTTAGGGTTGCTTCTTCTTCTCTTGCATTTGGTCGATGGGTGGCACGTTAACGGCCGATTCTCGCCATTGGTTCAGCGATCTTTTCAGAGCGTTGACCGAGAGAGAATTTCCTGAGGATGCCAGGGAACGTTTCGACGTATCAGACGAGGTCACGGACCCGTCGAAACCGTACGTGGTGAATTTGCCGTTGACGGGTCTGGTGTTTGATTACAAGTACGTGAAAGAGGGCAGAGGAAGATGGAGATCGTGGTTGGACGATTTGCAAGACCTCCCAGCGATACCCAAAGACGTACCAGTCAATCAAATCATTGTCCCGACGATTGAGACCGTTCGATACGTACACTTGTTCAAACTGTTGATCTGTCATCAAAAGCCTGTCTTATTGGTTGGTCCAACTGGTACCGGCAAGTCCGTCTACATAATGGACTTCCTGTTGAAGAAGAACGATCCGGAAACCTTCAAACCGCTGTTCGTGATATTCTCGGCTCAAACGAGCGCTAATCAAACTCAGGAAATCATCATGAACAAATTGGATAGAAGGAAAAAGGGACTTTACGGAGCTCCTCCAGGAAAATACTGGGTGGTTTTCGTGGACGATCTTTCCATGCCTCAGAAGGAAGAATACGGTGCCCAGCCACCTATAGAATTACTAAGACAATGGCTCGATCACTGGACGTGGTACGATTTAAAAGAAGTAACTCCGATACAGCTGGTGGACGTTCAATTGGTTTGCGCCATGGGTCCTCCATCCGGGGGACTGGATGTCACACCAAGATTCAAAAGACACTTCGTCACCCTGGGCATTTCTGAGTTCTCCGATAACGTTCTTATCACCATCTTCACCGCCCTGGTGTCCTGGCACTTGGACAGCAAAGAGTTTCCCGATTTTTTCCGTCCGATCGTTGAATGCATTGTTCAAGGTACTCTGGACATTTATAAGGAGACCAGGAAGCATCTTTTGCCGACTCCAGCCAAGTGCCATTACTTGTTCAATCTGCGAGACTTCTCGAGGGTGATTCAAGGAGTGCTGTTGTCCACGCCTGAAACTGTCACCGAACCTGTAGGTATTTAGTAGACCTTGAAGAAGATCGCGAGGGAAACCTAGGGAAATCCTTGAAGGAAACTAACACGACTTGCTTGTTTTCAAGATCGGTATGAAACGATTATGGGTACACGAAGTGCTACGCGTTTATGGGGACCGATTGATCGACGACATGGACATCAAATGGCTCGTCGAACAGATACGGAAAACCTTGTCGGAATACATGGAGGATGATTTGAATTACATGTTCCAAAATTTACTCGGCGATGCGGCTATCTCTGTACGCTCTTCATTTAATGATATAATCAATCTTTGAAATTTTCCTATCATTTTATTTTTATTTAGGTGACAGAAATGGAGCTTCGAAATCTGATCTACTGCGATTTCGAGGACCCATTGGCTGATCGAAAATTGTACCTAGAAGTGGAGGATTTGGATCGCCTGGCGATCGTGGTTGAGGAGTACCTCGCGGAGTACAATTCCATTTCAAGGACACCGATGAATCTCGTACTTTTCCGGTTCGTATTCGCACAGGTGTATCATAAGAGAAATTTCAATGTTTCTTCGTGTTTCCTCAGGTTTGCAGTGGAACATCTGTCAAAGATTTGTCGAGTGATGATGCAGCCCCGAAGTCACGCGTTGTTGATTGGCGTCGGTGGTTCCGGAAGGCAATCATTGACCAGACTAGCAGCCCATATCGCTGACTACGAGCTGTTCCAGGTGGAAATGTCACAGCAGTACGGCCGGCACGAATGGCACGAGGACCTGAAGAGTATCTTAAAAAAGAGCGCCGCTAGTGAGCTGCACACCGTCTTCCTCTTCATGGACACTCAAATCAAAGAAGAATCGTTCTTAGAAGACATCAGCAACTTGTTAAATTCCGGAGAGGTACCGAACCTATTCGCCCCCGATGAGATGTCCGACATCTGCGAGAAGATGCGCGTGATCGATCGTCAAAGGGACAGATCCGTGCAGACGGACGGAAGTCCTGTGGCCCTCTTCAACTTCTTCGTGCAGACGGTCCGCGAGCATCTGCACGTGGTCGTCACTATGTCGCCGATCGGTGATAATTTCCGTGTGAGGATTCGAAAGTTTCCAGCTTTGGTCAATTGTTGCACGATAGATTGGCTTCAACCTTGGCCGGAGGACGCACTACTCGCTGTGGCAACCAAGTTTCTAGGTGAAATTGATCTGACGAAGAAAGAGGAAACCGCGTGCATCGAGATGTGTCAATACTTTCACACCTCCACCCAGGAGTTGTCGCACGAGTTCCTGAGGAAGACCAAGAGGCACAACTACGTCACGCCCACCTCGTACCTGGAGCTCATCAACACTTTCAAGGATCTGCTGAGGAAAAAGAGGAAGGCGACGATCGACGGGAAGAAGAGGTACGAGGCGGGTCTGGAAAGGTTGGACAGTACTCACAAGCAAGTGGAGAAGATGCAGGAGATTTTAGTTGCTTTGCAACCGAAGCTGCTTATCGCTGCCAAGGACGTCGAGACCATGTTCCTCAACGTTCAAAAGGAGAGCGACGAGGTCGCAGCCATGGAGCAAGTCGTCAAGATGGACGAGGAGGCTGCTATGGTAAGATGTTGCGTCTGAATATCACGGTCACTTGATTTTATTCACCAGCCTGTTGGCTATACAGCTCTCGAGATTTCTTCCTGCTTTCTGAATTCTTCAAGAACACTTGGTTCCTTCCACTTTATGCCTTGTTACTTTTAATTAATTATGAACACTGTACAAAGGGTAGTTTAAAAATTCGTAAAAATTTCATTTGAATCGCTTCCCGATTACTTCAGGTGGTGGCACACGAAGCGGAAGGCATTCGTGCGGAATGCGACGCCGACTTGCAAGATGTGATGCCGATACTGAACGCGGCTAACGACGCCTTGAACACTTTAACCCCGCAGGATATTCAAATAGTGAGATCCATGAAACGACCGCCAGCCGGTGTTCGACTGGTTATGGAAGCAGTCTGCATACTGAAGGTTCGTTTTACCAGTCAAAAGACTATTAGCAAAGCCTAGATCTAAACTGAACGATTCCATCAGGACGTGAAACCAGAGAAGGTTTCCACCCCAGAAGGCACGGTGGACGATTACTGGAAAGCTTCACTTCGTCTACTAAGCGACATGAAGTTCCTCGAGTCCTTATTGTTATACGATAAGGATAACATCTCGGAGAAGATCATGACAAGGATCCGAACTACGATCCTAACGAACCCGAATTTCGACCCGGAGAGGGTCAGACACGTTTCTACAGCCTGCGAAGGTCTCTGCAGATGGGTGTTCGCGTTATCAGAGTACGACCAGGTGGCCAAGATAGTAGCACCGAAGAAGCAAGCCTTGGCCAAGGCAGAAGCCGACTATTCGGTAGCGATGGCCCAGTTGAATCTGAAGAGAAGGCAGCTACAGGAGGTCAGAGACAGGCTGGCGAAATTGGAGGAACTTTTGCAGGAACGAAGAATCGAGTACCAGGCGATGAACGACGAGGTGAAAGACTGCGAAGAGAAGTTAAGAAGAGCGAAGGAATTGATCGGAGGCCTAGGTGGAGAATACACCAGATGGTCTGACACTGCTAGAGAGCTTGGTGAACGCTATCACATCCTGACGGGGGACATCCTCATAGGTTCTGGTATCGTTGCATACCTAGGCGTGTTCACGTCACAGTACAGACAGCAGCAGATCGGAGATTGGGTGAAGATCTGCACCGACCTGAACGTGTTTTGCACCCAGGACTATCAACTGACCCAGGTCCTAGGCGATCCTGTGCTCATACGTTCTTGGAACATCTTCGGCTTGCCCACTGACCTCTTCTCCATAGACAACGGGATAATCGTGACGAATTCCAGAAGATGGCCGTTGATGATCGATCCCCAAGGTCAGGCTAACAAATGGGTCAAGAATATGGAGAAAGATAATAGCGTGAACGTGATCAGACTGATCCAGAGTGATTATATGAGGATCCTGGAGAACGCTGTGCAGTTTGGGCAGCCAGTTTTGTTGGAGAACGTTGGCGAAGAACTTGACGCTGCCTTGGAGTCCTTATTAATGAAGCAAACGTTCAGGGCTGGAGGTGCTGTGTGCATTAAGATCGGAGATTCCATCATCGAGTACTCTGATCACTTTCGGTAAACATTATAATATTTATTCTTCGATAAATCCTTTTAACATCCGAATGATCGTGTTCTAATCAGATTCTACATAACGACCAAACTACGTAATCCACATTATCTACCGGAAGTGGCAGTGAAAGTAACGCTATTAAACTTCATGATCACACCGATCGGATTGGAGGATCAGCTGTTGGGTATCGTGGTAGCGAAGGAGAGGCCGGATTTAGAGTCAGAGAAGAATCAGCTGATCGTCCAAGGAGCCGCCAACAAGAAGTACGCCTATTCTATTTCTTCCTCTTCGCGTTTCTTCTCAACGTTCATCGACCATTGTCGTTCCTTTAGAATGTTGAAGGAGATCGAGGATCAGATACTGGAAGTCCTGTCGACCTCCCAGGAGAACATTCTCGAGGACGAGACTGCGATCAGCGTGTTAAGCTCCTCGAAGACGTTGTCGAACGAGATTCTGGCTAAGCAAACGGTCGCCGAGGTCACCGAAAAATCCATCGACGCTGCTAGATTAGAGTACACCCCTATTGCTGTTTATAGCACCGTTCTGTTCTTCACCATCGGTATTACTCTTTATAACTAGGGTCCTCTTAGCGATTTCAAGGACCTTATTTTTTTAACGAATAAGTTATTTGAAATAATTAACATTTCTTTATGCAGCTATATTGGCGAACATCGATCCGATGTATCAGTACTCTTTGGTCTGGTTCATGAATCTCTTCAAACAGACGATCGATAATACAGAACATGTCGAGGATATAGGGCAGCGATTGGAGGACCTCACGAAACACTTCACGTACTCCCTTTACGTGAACATATGTCGCTCGTTGTTCGAGAAGGACAAGCTTTTATTCTCGGTGTTGCTTTCGGTGAACCTGCTGAACAAGCAGGGAGCGATCTCGATGCCTCAATGGATGTTTCTGTTGACCGGTGGTGTGGGACTTGAGAATCCCTTCGCGAATCCCACTCAATGGCTACCGTCGAAATCCTGGGACGAATTGTGTCGTTTGAGCAGCGTTTCTGGTTTCGAGGTACGATTGAAAGTGGAAGAAAAATAGTTGTTTAGCAGGCGGCTACGGAGCTCGGGAAAAATTTTTCTTAAAAATTCTTCTCGCAGCTGAAACGAGGCTGCTTCATGCTCGTTCTCTTGTTCAGGGATTCAAAGACACGTTTACGAAAAACATAAGCGCCTGGAAGGTGGTCTTTGATCACATGGAACCGCATACACTGCCGTTCCCCGTGCCTTACGAAAACCTCATCCCTTTCGAGAGGATGCTTGTGCTGCGATGTATTCGTCCTGACAAAGTCGTGCCTGCCGCTCAGCAATTTGTACAAGGTGAATAGAAACGGCCGAGATGTTTCTACGAGAGAACAAAAAGCTTAGGAAAGGAAAGCAGATGGTATTTTCTTCTTTTTGTTTTACAGAGCAACTAGGGAAACAGTATATCGAGTCACCACCCTTCGACCTTGTCTCATCATTCTCGGATTCATATTCCTGCATTCCTCTGATATTCGTGCTGACGCCTGGCGCCGATCCCATGGCGGTTCTACTGAAATTCGCCGACGATATGGGTTTCGGCACCAACCGACTGTTCTCTTTGTCTTTGGGTCAAGGACAAGGAGTTATCGCAGCTCAGCTTATCGACGATGGAGTGAAAAATGGCACCTGGGTGGTTCTCCAGAATTGTCATCTTGCCAAGAGTTTTATGCCGCTGTTGGAGAAGGTGACCAGACGATTTACTCGTTAAACTTTTAACACGGTCAACGTTTGGTTCGAACGAAATTCGAGAAGTAATCGCGAGCTTTCTCTCTTAGATTTGCGAGAGTTTCACCCCGGGGACCGTTCATCCCGACTTTCGATTATGGTTGACGAGTTATCCGGTGGAACACTTTCCGGTCAGTGTTCTTCAGAACGGCGTTAAAATGACGAACGAACCGCCGAAGGGATTGCGAGCGAACATAGTCAGGTCGTTCCTGCAGGTAAATCGACGGGAAAAGGTAAGATGGAATCGTACGGTGAGATTGAAAATCGTAATCCTGTTACCGAAAGGATCCAATATGCGACGACGAGTTCTTTGATACGTCGAATCAGAAGGGTACCTTTAAGAAGCTGCTCTTCGCCCTGTGTTTCTTCCACGCGATCGTCCAAGAACGAAGGAAATTCGGTCCGATCGGATGGAACAATCAGTACGAATTCAACGAGACCGATTTGCGTATCAGCGCTTTGCAATTGAGGATCTTTCTCGACCAATACGACGACGTGCAATACACTGCTTTGAAATACTTGACCGGTATTCCATATTAATTTTTCATCCATACGATTACATAAATTTTATTCCATTGAATCGTTTTCTGCCGTTCAGGTGAATGCAATTACGGTGGTCGTGTGACGGACGAATGGGACAGGAGAACTTTGAACACGATCCTAACGAAATTCTATTGCCCTGGTGTGATCGAGAAACAGAAATACCAGTTTGACCCGAGCGGAATATATTTCGTGCCTGTGGTAACCACGCATACCGAGTTCCTCGATTACATTAAATCTTTTCCGATGGCCACCGCGCCCAGCGTCTTCGGGATGAACGAAAACGCTGACATCATCAAGGATCAGCAAGAAACTACTCTAATGTTATCGTCGATATTAGCTACTCAGGTAAGAAAACTTCAACGACGTATTGAACGGATGAAGAGAATTGATTTTAGATATATATAACATAAAAATGTAATTGTATTGGTATCCAACAGAATATCGAGGAATTTAAGGTGAGTTCTATCGATACAATAGAAATTTCAGGAATTCCTTATTTGTAATATGGGTGATTTTTTTATAGAACTATTTTTCTATAGAAAGTACATGCCTCCCTATTCGTAATGATCACCAGTTGAGAGAAAAACTAGTTTGCTGGAAAAGAAATATGGTTCTTTCTAGCGAAGCAAACTCTCGTTGCTGGTATCACCCTCGTTATCATTATCTTCGTTCATTAATTTCGAGACAATTTAGGTGCACGCGTACGCGTCGTGTTTCACAAACATAATGGGATTGCTTAAATGTATTCGGTGCGACGACTAACGAGGCTCTGTGCCGTCCCACCCCCGTCTCATTCTTGCCCTTTCTGTGTCCTCCAATTAGGACACCGGAGAAACGGAAACAGATAGAGGAAAATCAGCCGACGAGATCGTGTACGAGGTGACGTCTGATATTCTGTCAAGGTTACCGAACGATTTCGATCTTGTCGTCGCCCTGGAGAAATACCCGACGTTGTATAATCAAAGCATGAACACGGTACTGGTCCAAGAAATGGGAAGATTCAACAAGCTTCTGCGAACGATCAGAAATAGCCTGGTGAACGTTCAGAAAGCGATCAAAGGTAAAATTAACGTTTCAGCCTGTTCATCGATTTTTCATGCCTAAACGAACTTAATCTAAGGTCTGGTGATGATGAACACGGACCTCGAAGAGGTCTACGTATCGATAATCACTGGAAAGATACCGAAGATGTGGATGAGGAACTCTTATCCATCTTTGAAGCCTTTGGGTAGCTACATACAGGATTTCTTGAAGAGACTGAACTTTCTTCAGGTTCTACACCTTCTTTTCGTTTTATCCCATCTAATTTTAGACTAGGACGTTTATATTTTTCAATTCGATACGATTATAGTCGTGGTACGACGTAGGACCACCTACCACCTTCTGGATATCCGGTTTCTATTTCACCCAAGCCTTCCTCACCGGTGCACGTCAGAATTACGCGAGAAAGTACTCGATACCCATTGATCTGCTTATCTACGATTTCGTTCCCATGAAACAGAGTGTACTCATGGAAGCACCAGCCGACGGTGTTTATATTTACGGTTTGTTCCTCGACGGAGCTCGTTTCAACAGGACGACGATGAAACTCGACGAGTCCTTACCGAAGATTCTCTACGATACGGTACCCTATGTAAGTATTTTCCCTATTTTACGATTTACCCAGCTTCCAATGTACTTTCTTCCGCAAACGTTCTCGAAAACGGACCGCAAACGAAGGATTTTATTTGGAAGGAAAACGTTTCAAGAGAAATTTGTAGTTTTCATTGTTGCGCAAACAAGATCATTCGATTCGTGTTCTGCTACGAAGAGTAAGAAAATCTGTGTACCGAGGCAACGAGATGCTTCGCGAACGATCTTATTTCGCACAATTTCTTCGTTTTGTCTGTGATCTCGGAGCGGCAAATGTACACGATCAAATTCGTTCAAACGATTCCTTTCCTTTCGCCAGATTTGGCTGATACCGACGAAGAAGGACGAATTGGAGGAAAAGGAAACGTACACCTGTCCCGTGTACAAGACCACAGAGAGAAGAGGTGTTCTGTCGACGACCGGCCACTCGACGAACTTCGTAATCGCCATATGGCTCCCGACGGACCATCCACCGGAACACTGGGTCCTCCGAGGCGTAGCTATGCTCTGTCAATTGTCCGATTAAACCGAATCTTTTCTAGAAATAAAATAAGAATTCTTAAAGTTTCTTGTAATTTCCTCAACCATTGATAATGGTTTTGATTCTTGAAATAGCGATCTCAGGGGTAGCCACCCTTTAAAAATACAATCTTCCAGAAAAGTTGAGGAAAATGCCACCTTGCTTTTCTTCTTATCTGAAAACGAATCTGTTGAACAGAGCGGAAACGTCACGCCTAAGGATGCTCTTACAACAGGTGGCGATACATCCAGGTCAAGCCAGGCTTGATTCTCTGTCAAGGTTCGATCGAGCGTCTAACGTCTTTGTAAAAAATCTTCAAACGATCCCAGCTAGGGGGAGGAAAAAGAAGAAGCTCGCGGTAGGGAGAAGCGAAATACAAGCAGCCACCGATTTTCGATATCGCCGACGACGCCGTATATCCGCCGCGAAATCGAGATTCCTTTTGCAAACGTTTACCGTAAATATTGCCAGCTATATCGAGAACTGGTAAGCCAGGTGCAGAAGAGATTTCGAAGGCAACGTACGTCCATGGCAGATAGGATGGTCGGCGAAGCTGAGGATAGACGAGGTGGAGAGGGATGAGAACACAGTAGGATGAGTAAACGGGTACGAGAGGTAAGTATACGGGGTGTCTCGTGCAACTGAGATAAATTATATCTTGGAAAGGTCATAAAAGAAAATTAGTGTTAAGAAATTGAATTTTAATTTTTTTTATTGAAATTAATTGCGGCATCTCAAATTTGAAGTCTTATGTGTATCTCAATTGCGGGGGTGTAGAGTGATTCTAAACCATATTAATTTTTCATTTCAACATGAAAATGGTTATTCGGGTATATAATTGTCTAATTGTCTAAAAAATAATATATAACGATGCTTCGGTTAAAATTAGTTACTGAAATTTTTCAACGAAAGACTTTCAGATATTGGAAAATTGCAAATTTCACCGAGGGTTGAAAGAAGGGTTAAAGATGAATCTCTCGTCACAGTTGCATGGAACACCCTGTATTGAAAGGGAACGGGTAGGTAGGAGGTGGGTTTTGAGGGGGTGGATGGCTGGTACCTACCAGCCATGAAGCCACCCAGCTTCAGGGGTTGGTGGCGGCACCCTGTCTACCCGGACCGAGATCGCCGGAGGCTCGTTGCCTAGCGACCTCGTATTGATCTCTCCCCGTATCTCGGCTTTTCCCCTTTCCCACGTGATTCTCTCCACCTCTTCATCTCACCCTGCTGTTTCTCTTCCACCCTTGCCGTTGCTCGCCTTCGATCCTCTCCATCGCGTTCCTGTCTTCCTTCTTCTCCTCTACACCTTCCTCCCTGGCTCTCCCGTTTTCTTTTCTCTTCCCTTTTTACCCTTTTTCTCCACCCGTACCCGTTCCCTTCGGCTCCTTCCACCCTTTCCGCCATCGTTCCACCTTTTTCCACGGTTTCTTCTTCGTCTCCATTATATAGGTTCCTTCTGTTTGCGCGTTTCGAGTGCTTTCAGACCGAGAGCCGAGAGAAAAACGGTGTCGGCGTTGGTGAGGTGACGGGATTAGGATCGAATGATTTTTTTTTCTTTTTCTTATGAAAATCTATGGAAGCTGTTGCTGGAGCAAGAAGTACCTGTAAGTTGGAAAATTGCGGAATCAGAGAAGAAAATCAGAATTTCATATAAAATTTCTTTCTTTGTGAGAAAATTCAGATCAATAAACTTTTTATCAAATACTTTCCTTATTCTTTCAATCATTGTTAGAAAAACCCTGTTTCCAGCTGTCCTATGATTTTCCACCCACCAAGTATACGGAATATTTGAACGTCTTCTTTTCCTTTGTTTCTTTCCAGAAGATATAAGAACGCAGGTATTTTCTATCCAAATTTAGTGGTTCCAGTAACAGACTCGACGATCCCTCTCATTTATTCATTCTTCCGGTCGGCATCGAGAGTCTGTTGGGCTTTCACGTCGGGGGCGATACGTTGAATAATAGATAACCATACGGTTTATGATTTCACGATTCGATTTTCCAACGAGCGGAAAAGCGTGAAACGGTTTGCGTAATACGCGCCACCGTGAAAGGACGCGATCGAAGAAGGTTGAAGGACCCGCGAGCAGTTGGTACACACAGTTGCGTTAACAGGAAGGGGGATTAGATTTCGAATGCGTTCGACGGGAACAGGATGATAAATATTCATTTATCTAGATACCACGGACGGTGTAACTCGAAAGGATGTAATTAAAGGTTGCACAGCAATCGTGAAGCCTCGATACGTTGCGTTCATCCGTGTATTAGATGTTATTCCATGCTGACTACAGAAACTGTTAATATCCGTTAATATTTATGAAAATGTTCAGCCACTTCTTTAGCAAATTCAATATAAATGTTAAAAAATTTTATGTTTTTCGTTTCAGGTTTCATATCCAGCACAGTACTCTACAATTTTAGTTCATACCCTGCCATTTTGTTTCTTTTCTCACATCTAAATATTTCAAATTATAAATAAAAATTCGTTTCCCTATTTTTGATATCTTTCAAGAAAACTACCCTTAAAGTTACCTATGCGATCTTCGGGGTGGCCTTACCCCTTGAGGCCGGTATAAGGTAAAGGTAGAAGGTATCGTCGTTTTAGGGATGCCACCCTCGAAATTCTCTCGCTCGATCTCCTCTGGCACGAGACGCGACAAAGAAATTCAGATGAAGGTCACTTTACCGATAGGAAGAGGCCCGCGGAGGGGTGGAATGGGGAGGGTAAAGAGGACAGGCAGCGAAGCAAGAGGCGTCAAAAGGGGTGGTGCTATATCATCCTCTTCGTTCCTCTCACGATTCACGAATAAATTTCATTCGGTTGACGTGTTTCTCCGCCGGCTCTGATGCTCGTTGATTGCAAATTAGGTGACTTTATGCAACTGTTTCCTTTTCGAAGAATCGATTTATGCAGCGCGTTGCTTTTATCAAATGTTTTTTTTTTTCAATGAAAGCTTTTGAGCGCTGAATTTTAGAAATTTTCAAGTAGAAATTTTCTCGAATGTACAACGCAACTTGAGGTATCAAAATTTAAAAATAGAAGACACTCGACGAGGAATCGTTACGACTATCGAGCAGCTTACTCGAATCGTTCCCTATCGCCTGATCAATTCATTTAATCGGATCATTTGATCGTTCGACGAGGAAAATAGTTGGGGAGAAATCTTAAGGGAACGTTCGGCAAAAGTGGACGATGATTCTGTTTAGAAGAGAAGGGATGAAATGGCTGGGCAATTACCTTTTAGGAGATGGGTTTCGATCGTTTTGATGCGTTAGCGAATCACTGAGAAAACGTGATGAGTTTGTTACGTATATGCTCGTTTATTCAAACAACATTACATCATGCAGTCGAACGTGTCTCGTTGCCGGCCGTGTTATAATTAAATCGGTCATACACCCTCCTCGTAATGAACTATTCGGTCATTTCATAAGTCGTGTTCATGATGCATTATTTTTTTAAAACTTGTCCGATGTTTAACATCGATCGTTAATCTTATAGAATGACCGGGTATAATTACAATCGTGCCGATCGATAGATCAATCGGAGTCATAAATAATGGAAAATTATTTGGAAACTAGCTCGACTACTCGCTAAAGCTATCTTAAAGATAAAAAAGAAAATTCATACTTCCTTCGAATACTCGATACAAACTCTTGGAAATGCCGGCTGTTAAAATTCCCCGTTGCATCATTAAGGTCAAGGTTTCATTCTCCTCTAAAATCCAGCAAATACAATCTACGTGTCTAGAAAAAAAGAAAAAGAAAATGAACGAAAAAGAACCTCGTTGCTAATTCAACCCTTCGAACGATCGCGAAAGCATAGTCCCTAATTTGCGTGCTCAGACGTCCATTATCCGTAGATGATTCTCCGTCGTGGCCCTGGAAAAAAGAAAGAAGGAAAAAGAAGCAGCTCCCAGAGGCCAGGGAAAGGGGATGAGACACGGAAACGGGCGAAAAAGGGACAGTGGTTGAGCATCGGCACTGAATAATGGAGGTAGCCGCGTGGAGTGTTGGACGTTCTCTGGAAAAAGAAAGAGCAGAGACGTTTCCGAGAACGGGGTTGAAAGAGGGCGCGGATGGTGGGCTAGAACGGGGTAGAAATCGTCCCCGTCGCGGTTGGTAGACGTGGAAATGCATCGGTGATGGTATTGGTAAGGTGGCATCGCGTCGGTGAAGTCGAGGCGGTCCACGGGGGATGCTGCGAGAAGGGATAGGTTGCCAGGCAACGTACGTCCACCCTTAAACCTTCGTCCACCCCCTCTTTCCGGGCCGTGCTTGCCCGTTCCGCGGATGACGAGTACTCGGTCGATACAAGCAGCCGTTTTCCTCGTACGCTCGGGAATTCCCCAATTTCCATTACGGGACTGACCACTCGAAGGGGGTGCGTACCCTTGGACGGTTCAAAAAAATCAATCTCTTTAACCAGTTTTAATATTTTTTTTCAACGGGAAATTTTATGTACTTCGGATCCACTATAAGCCAAACTTAAAACGTCAAGTATTTTTTAAAAAATAAATTCTTGAAAATGATCCTTCTTTTCAAGGTGCCAAGGGTATGTAACCCCTTAACCCTTCGATCTCCCTTTTCACCCTCTGCCACCCCATCGTGCCACGCTGGGACACTTAAAACGATTGCTAACCCCGCTTCGATCGGTCGAGTTATGTCCTCGAGAAAACGACCGACTTAGGGGGGTGAGAGACGTTTCAGGATCGGATTTTATTCTCGCTGGGTGGGATCCTTGATATCCTTGGAGGATTCGGAAATGTTGGAAGGCAAACGAAGACGAGGGTTGGATAAGAGTAGTCGATGGAGTATTATAATTTTTATCAGGAATCGGGAGGGGGGGGGGGGGGGGCGGGGGTGGTTTAAAAAATCGTGTAATCTTTCGCGACACGGAGAGAGGGTTCAAGGTTCCTTACCTAACTCAGAAACGATCGATGTGACAGAGAAAGATAGCGTTATGATGGATAAATGATTGAGAGACGGAGGTACATCACAACAAAGGGGTAAAACGGTGGCTCTTTTTTATTACAAAATATGTACAAAGTATTCAGAGGGGTTGTTACTGTACATGGTGTTTGTCGATTCAGAGAGTCGTCTACACGTTCAATGCACTACAGTTCTGGCAGGAGAAAGAAAAATTAAATGCAAGGTACAGGTGTTTCAAAGATACCCAATCAACGTCTACTCCAACCCTTGTGCACCCTTGCAATTTTTATTACATTTCAGCAGAAGTTAATATTTCATCAACAAATTATTATCATTTGGGTTACACGAGGGTTAACACGTTCACTACTACCACTCAATCGGAATTTCATCTGTCATTGCTCACTTAAAAAAAAATGAAATAATATAAAACCATGCATAGAGTTTTAATAAAATTAAAGGACCGGGACCACTATCAATCGGCATCACTGGTAGCAAACGTGTTGAATTTATTCAAAGTAATCGGTATATGATCGTTAAGGGTTGGAACGAGAACTATAATCGCAGACGAGGAACTGTAAATCTTTACTGACCTGTCGTATAACACAAGGGTAACGCGTTTTCGACCATGAAATCCAGTGGTCTTCGCTAGCGTTGAGAATCATAAAACGTTGAATTTGGTCCGCTCTTGGCATTCACCGCGTGCCTTATGAATTTTGAAAAGTTGGCACATGGAAGCCCGCAGTGAACGCAAGGAGCACAGACTCACACGAATCTTCCTTCCATCGACCTCTCCGTATTGATTGCATTTCTTCTTCAGCTAATCCACCAACGATCGAGTCTAACATCTCTGTAAGGTACACTGTCGTTCACGATGTCCTCTACATCAAACGACGGATTATCGTCACAAAATTTGAAAAATAAAAAAAGACGAAATATAATTATTCAACACTATAATAGATAAATAGTTTCCATGTCACGAACCAAACTATCAGAATTCCAAAGCGTCGACAATTTCAAATCGTAACACTTTCTAAATTTTGATCAATTCTTTCAATTATTATTCCCTTTTTAATATGAAAAATTTGACTGCATAATTTTAATCGAAGCATCGTTGTGTATGTTCCCCAAGGTTTGGGTCATGATTGACCCGACACACGAGGTTAAAAAAAAAAAAGAAAAATAATACACAGGATGATGGCGCACGTCGCGATGTGAACCGAGTTTGATGAGCGTCGAAACTGTACTATGGAACGATAGCACTCGTCTTATGGACCCACGATTAGGGGATAGCCAAGGGGGTGTGGGTCGACGATGGGTAGGGTGGTTCTGCGGGGGGTTCGTCAGTCCCACCATAACTTATTGCTTATTTCGCGGAGGGTGTACGACCCCGTGATATCCCAGGACCGGGGAGCAGCTGACGTTGGGGTTCCATTGTCTGTAGATATTCGCATAATCAAGAAAGCCACCCCATTCCGTACTTTTTCCAGCCGTGGAAAGTGACATATGGGATGCCCTGACTAATATCAACGCCGATCCTGATGGATGTTCATCGATGGACAGCGATTCGTTCGAGACTTTACATTTTATGAAATAAATAATTACACTCACTCATCTATTTTCCCTTGATAAATTATATCATTCCGAAGACATGCAATCGTTTTAAAAACAGAGCACTTTTCAAATAAACCATGGTCACTCGCGCTATAGGAATACAATTAAATAAATAAACGAATAATTTCTGTTATCTGGTGTCCTGAAATTTCAGAGCATCCTTAGTGGACAGACTTGAACTATAACCGAATGCAAGGAACAAAGATATCGAAGACAATGGGAGGAACGTTGTCGCGCGAGACCGGAAACCCATCATTTTCGTCGTCGTAAAGGTGACTGACCGAGCGTATCTTTGGCCGAGTGTCCCAGAAAAGGAGCGTGAGGAGGACAGAGGGGGGTTTCGTCGGGGTGCGAAACACGTCCGAAAAGGGTGTTGCTCGTTTTAAAGGGCGCGTGTGCCGACGCGAGAGTGTGTGCGCAAAGGGGGGTCCAGCGCGTGCTCGTAAAGCTACGATCGCCCTAAAGGCCAATTCACATCCGTGCTTTACCCTGGCACAATGAGGCATTCCCTCGTAGGGCTGGCATCTCGTCTGCCAGAACTGTGGGTCAGGGTTACCCCGAAAGGGGGCTTTAATCCATCGATTTAAACCCTCCCCTTCTTGTCGCCCGATCTCAGCCTATTAACCCTTGCAGGAGACACCCATGGATACGAGGAATTTAATACGGAGCTATTTAAATGCTGCCCACCTTGACATCTACGACGCGGACATGACAAGTTGCATTTCTAACCGTGTGAAAAGGGCGAGAAGAACGTGAAACGAATTTGGAAAATGAAGCGAAGAAATTTTTCGAACGAGACAGGGGCGTTTGCCGATGTATCCTAGTACGAATTTCTCTGGTAACATTCGAAAGACGAAGGTGCTTATAGAAACTCGAGCAAAGTGCAAAGAAACAGGGGTGTGTAACCGGGCGTGGCGATACGGGACTTAAATAAAATCTCAAGGACGCGAATGACACTTATGGGACTTCTGGAGGTGCTACGAGAAAAATTGGCATTTTTACTTGCTGTTTAGTTCTAAGGAAATTACAAAAAGGAAAGTTAACCCTCGTGCACCGTTACACTTGAAAAGTCGAAAGAAACGTTACTATAAAAAAAAATTAGGAGAAGATCTACGATACTAATGCTCTTCTTTGGATTGTCTGGATGAAAAACAAAGCGAACGACCCTTACCACTGGATAACGATGTCCGTAGAACGGTGCGACCGGAAACGTGGCCGGTCGTCGAATGCCCTACGAGACAGGATCACTGAATGGCTTTACTCTCGTCACAAGCCGGCTATCCTTGTGACGTAATCGAGCACGTGCACTCCGTTTGCGCCCTTCTCAGGTGGGGTTGAAAACGTCACGGATACCAATCCTCCCCTGAAAGGCACGCCCTCTTCATCGATCCTGACGAACCCTCCTCCATTCATGAGAACCCTGGTACCGGGCCGACGAACCGCATGGTTCTACCTGGTATCTAGAACAAATGAACAGTTTTCATGAGAGAAACAGAGAAGCGGCGATCGGGAGAGGGGGGAAAGATGAGGCAGCATTTGCGACAAGGGGGTGAAACATGCGACTCAGAGGCAGCTGTATCCTAGGTCAGCAACAGTTTGAAAGAATCTATGGATTCTTTTATTCTTAACTAGTGAAACTCGAGAAGAATTAAATGTCACAGAAGGGGGAGGGGGGATAGGTGCTTTGCCCTTTAAATAGAAACAAAGATTCATTTATAAAATTGTCGTCAGGTAAAATAGCTAATTATTTTTACTATAATTGAGAAGACTACAATACTGATATCGCAAATGTTATAAAAGTTATGACTACCCTGCAATCCCTAAATAGCAGAGATTGTGACCGAAACCCAGAAACCATAGGTTTAATGATGCTTTCAAATGTTCAAATGACCCAGGGTTATACATTAAAGAGAACAAGTGTAAAATATGAAAAATCTAGATCGAACGGTGTCTAAAATTATTAATCGTCGTCCAAGGGTTAAATGGCAGCGACCAATCGAATTTCTGCAGAGCAATCGAGCCACTGAGCGAGTTGGTTATAAATAGGAACCCTCGCCAGAGTTCGTCAGCTGATCACATATTGACAGTCCGATAAGTTGTCTCGACAGGCTCGTTCAATCCTCGAAACTGCTTTCCGCACAATTAACCCAATCGTTCCGATGGTTATCGACGATACGCGGGACCCCGAGTCTCTTACGAATATTGGACAAAGTTTATTCAAACATTGAACATGAAGAAATTCGAGGAATCCCGATCGGGAGCAGGTTTGAAAGATCGATAGATCGGGGAGGGGATTATCAGAGCCGCGGGAGAGGTCCAAGCAGGTGGTTGGTCGAATGATCTTTCTGCTTCGCCGACTTCCGGATGGGCTCGAGGGACGACTTTGGATACCGACGACTTTGAAAGTGAAGTTTCGTGACAGAAAATTACGAAAATGGTAATTAGGCAGGTAGCGGCGACGTGCCGGCAACGGCTTATTCATACTTCGTAGCCATGGCGATCCTGCACTACTGATAAAACAACAGTACACACCATAATGTACTTACGCGGAATAGGGGAACACCTTGTCTACCGGGTGTCATAGAAATCGAAGAACGTTTATGGGACTTGGAAGACCCTCGCCAGATACTCGTCTGATTCGATGAAAACATCCCTTAAGATTAATCGATAGAAGGCTGGTGATATCGTGTCAGGATCTTTCTACGAAACTATAAAATTTTATCGCGAATATTGTAACCAGATGTAAATAAAATTTGTTTGAAAAAGATGTTCTCAGAGGGATCGTGTATTGGAAAAGATATTAGGGATGCGGTAACATATGGTGATTCTGCGTACCGTGGATCCATTTTCCCAATCGAAATTCGTGGCCGACCATATGCCGTCTCGAATGATGTAATTTTAACAACCATGATATCTCGAATGGAGCGTATCAAAACAGCTTAACAAAGTTTGGGAAATAGTTCGATATCGAATTAGTTAAATAAGATGAATTACAATTGCCTAGTTAGCTTGATAAGAATGTGTTAGATAACACAGTGATCTAAAGAAAATTAAGGTGGAAGATTATTAAGAGATAGTACCATCACAGATGAAACGATTAGAAAAGACACCTATCAACGTCTAATCGACACCGAATCAATAATTCGTTTGAAAACAAACTGCGTCTCACGAATCTCGTGAAAGATTGGAGCGTAATCTCGGATGACCCTGAAGCTCCGTGAACGTCACTCCCTGTTCTATACATAACCTTGAACTACCTCGGACACGGATAGAAAAAAGGACATTACGTATCTCCCATGAGTACCACGATCGAGAAACCAATCTCGTCTGAACAGTTAATTAGTGCAATTAAAACCGTCCCGTTCATCGACACGCGACCAAAGATACCATCCTCGCCGAGGATTGACCTTGAAATCGTCACGAAAGAATCCTGAAATACATTACCTGCCAGTGAACTCTTCATCCTCCGGTAGATCAATCGTTGAACGTTTCCGAACGTCCTCCGGTAGGAGGGTCACCGTTCTGGAGAACGGTACAGGGATCCTATCCAAGGTCCATTGGATGATATTCGATGTTGGTAATCTCTTGGATCCGAGATGAATCGAGTCTCGTCGTATGGTGGAAGTAACGGTTTGAAGGTGGCCGAGGTGGTCGACTACGGTGAATCAGGAACGCGTCGACGATGAAGAAGAAGAAGCAGAAGCAGAAGCAGGAGCAGGAGCAGAAGAAGAAGGGGGCGCAGCAGGATGCGCCGTTTTGTGTCGGGACGGTGTTGTTGGTTTGATGGTCGCGGGACCACTGCGCCCTCTCCGTCTTCACCCACCTAGCCCTGCCCCTCGATATCAACCCCTAGTACCCCTGCTAGTGCCCCAGGGATCGACTCTTCTCCCTCCAACCAACTCGCTTCACGTTTTAGCCCTCTCTGAATCCCCCACCAACCGTTTCCACCCTACAACGAGGATGCCATGCCGGCTCTGGAGCCCCCTCCAGCAGCATTCTGGGCTCGTCACGAACGAGCGAACGGACGGACGTACGAACGAACGAACGAACGAACGTACAGGCTGCCGTGTCGTCACTGCCGAAAACCGGCAGCGAGGGTGTACGTATCGCGTCGGCCCTTTTCCACCCCTGGCCGCGCGGATTTTCCGCGACCAGACAGGCTCGAGCCGATGCTCGTGATCGCACTGATGGTGGTGTGCTTGCCGTTTCACTCTGCCGCTGCTGTTCAACGTATAGCCAGGCCTGCCGTTGCCCAGAACCACCGGTGGAGGTGGTCGGGTTGATGCTGGTGGTGGGTCGACGATGGCGCGCGAGCGCGTTTTAATACGCGTCGCGCAAGCGTCACCCAGAAAATCGAGCCTCGTACCGGCGCGGCACGATGCGACTTTCTTCTTCCTTTCCTCCTTCCTTCTCTCTCTCTCTCACTCTCTCTCTCTATCGCTCCATTTTGTTCCTAAGCCTCATCCATGGGATGATATTCTTCTTCTTCCTCGTTACCGATGCGTTTCTCTCTGTTCGAGAGATGCACATCGTACGCTCGTGTTGGCCGTCTTCGTTCAAGGGCGTACAACCTCCTCTCGCTAGAGCAACCTTCAGGGGTGGGTCGGATCAGAACGATTGCTGTCTCTTTCGCGACCCATCCTCCTTCTTCCTTCCTTCCTTCCTTCCTTCCTTCCTTCCTTCCTTCCTTCCGTCCTTCCTTCCTTATCAACTCTTTTCTCTCTTTGACCAGCAACCCCTTGCTTTCTACCATACCTCCCCATCAAACTAGACACGTAATGTGTTTCTGTTCCTTCGTTTCCGCGCCTCGCTCTCACTTTGTCCACCGATTCTACTCGTCATTCCGCCTTCATCCACGAGTCACCCAGAAACCAGAGACCGCTCTTCGCTTTCTCTCTCCCTCTCTCGGCCTGTTTTCCTTGCATCCTCGCAGGAACTTTGGATTCTGGCCGCGTAAGGGGAACAAATTTCGGGTGCAAGGTCTCTCGACGACTCTTTGCTCGATTCCTCGTATCGCTTCTTCTGGGACTCGTCTCCTGGGGAACGACTTGTACGCTTCCCGATCTTGTATTAGTTTCTTCAATAAGTTCGTGACCTTATTCAGTATTCATCTTTCATAAAAAATGTACATCCTTCATTTTATCTCGACGGAGAGCCACGAAATGGTTCGTCAGGGATACGAAGATTGCAATTCTTCAAGTATACAAGCCATTTTCTTCTTCTTATTTCTTCATGAATGGTATATGTGTCTCGAGCAGGTGGTACAATCTTGATTAAACTGGTTGCAAGAGGAAACGAAAAGGTGTACAAAAAGAATTTCAAAAATGGCAACAACTTATTAAGTGGTATTTTAAAGAAAGATTACAAGGTGACCAGCTTCGTTAATTTTTTACCGAAGGAGATTTTTTATCGAATTATTCGCTGGTGGAGACGCGGATAAAAAAAATTGACTATAGTCCGCCCCTGGTACCCTTCCGTCCGCGAAACGACTCGTTTACGTCGCGCCATTTCCGTTTCTTGCTTCTAGAGTCCTCGCGGCGGTCGTATTATTAGAGACCTCGTCGCGGCCTTTCCTCGTTTGAAATTCAAGCGGAACCCAGAGGAAAGCAGGAAACGAGGGGAAATTAAAAATTCATTTCCTAACCTGTTACGTTACCTTTTCACGGCAAACGTCTCCTTCCGTCACAAATCTTTTCCTTGAAACAATGAGCTGATTTTTCACCGGAAAACAAACAGCAGGATCTCCTCGAACTTTACCATTCAGTAAATTTTTAATAGCTCGTTCCGCCCTACTTCCTCCGCTCCTCGACTTCCGGATATCAATTAAGCTTCCACGCTGGCGAAACACGCGCGTCAGTGAGCGAAGAGTAAAATGCAGGGGTACCTTTTCGCGTGACAGGCGAAAAACGTACTGCAAATTTTATTCGTTGATTACCTCCAACTCTCAGCGTGGTTCTTTTAATAATCATCTTCAATCATCCCTCTTCCTCAACGGTTCCGCCATCTTTCGAGTTCGAAAGTTCTTTTCCTGCTGGAGATGAAGTTGTCGAGAAGGGAAAGAGTCTTACACGATGGAAACCGGCTTCCTCTCTTCACCGGATCCTTTCGATCGCGTAAGCGTACGAGCAGTAAACTTTTGTTCCCGTGTAATCGAGGTCTCGCGAACCCTTCGATGCGGCTTCCTTTTTCTACCCCCAAGGTAAGACTGGAAACAACGTCAGGGAAATTGGAAAATTGATCGGCAATTAGCGAAGGCGAGACGACTGTTCTCAAAACTCGTTCACTCGAATCGTTCCGCGTAATGAAACCGATGTTACGTTCTTCGCTAAATTGCACACGAGTTTTCTCAATTAACAAATTAGAAAATATGAAAAATCTCAGATTGGAGCAACAGGCGTTGGACAGGTGTCAACTTTTAAAACTGAAAATAAATTTCCCTTTGGTTTCTAATATAACTAATTACCTTTGCCCATTGCCACGTGGGATTAAACTGTTTATTAATTAATAGTCGTATCGCGTACGAGAGGGCTTAGAAACACACAGTTTCGTTGTCTGTGTACATCGGCGACATGCGTCACGAATTTGCGGGAATATTAGTCGAGCACTACACTGTACAACTAACACGTAATTAACGTGGCCGACGTGTAAACCAAAGACGGGTAGTCGCACGTGTGGGTTAATTTCGAGAAGTACGATATTTCATTACAGCCACGATTACTCGACACTGAACAACTTCAAAGAACTTAATTTCCGGATATGGCAAGAGAAATGGCTGATTGTAATGACGATTAATTATTTTTAATAGAGTAATTTGTATCGGCACGTCGAATGAGGCGAACGGTTGTACCGATATCGAAAGTGAATATTAATTCCTGGCACATTAACAGAATAATAATTACGATCGATCGTGTAATATTGCGTAAAATAGTCTATTGTATCTTTCTTTTAATAGTACCAGCGATATTCGTTTCGTTAAGTGGCTGTACTTCGTCTCAGATTATTCGTAAGTAGTATTAGACACTTGTTGGTCAGACGCGAGTGTCTGACTACTCTCGTACCTTCTCTGGATCTACTTGCTACCATGGAAACGTTCTTTCCAACTGTTTTTTAAGTATATTCCATTGTATTTTATTATATTATTTTTTTCTTTCTTGAATATTTCAAACATTCACAGGCTAATAATTAGAAGTTCATGAAAGATAATGAAGAGGCATCGATCAAAGACTCGTTTCTTCCTTTTTGTATCCGCCGCGGGTGATGGTGCTCGATGGAGAAAACAAATTTTTCATATCAAAGATCTCGCGAAAAATGGAGATTGGTCATGGAACTGGCCGTGCCGTGACCGTTGGCATCGTTCCAACCCGTCTCTGCCTATCTTCAAAGAGAATATTTTTTATGTTTGAATTAAATTGCCCGGGGCAACGAGCGTTATCGACGTTGGCAGAGGTGACGATTGCCATTCTAAAAGGGAATTGGCCGACGTTTCGAAATTTCGACAGCTTTCATCCCCGTCGAGTTTTGTTCCCTACGCTACACCGCCCTTCATTTTCCTTTTCATCCCTTCGATCACACCGTTCCGGATCGGTCTCGCGTGCTCGAAGAACTTCGACAATTGCCGCTTGACGAAACGGCCATTACGACCTGATATCGGCTGCCAGTGATTCATTATGAAAAAGGGATCGCGTAATTCGTGCACAGGGTGGTCGAATAAAATTATCATTCGTATCTCCATGGTTCCTTTGGTATCTACTTTGGCAGGCTGAAGAATTTCCACTAATAATAATTCGAAAGCATGTTTGTAAAAAAATCCAGATACCAAATTTGCGAATAAACGACCCGGTCCCTGAGAAGCGTTAAGATGGTTGTGGGGTCGGAAGGCGAGCGGCATCGTCGCAAAAACAAAAACACGTGCCAGAGTGTTCGGTGTGCGTACGCAATCTCTTAACCGGATCTTTTGGGCGGGTGAATGAAGCTGAAGGCTGTTGATAGTAGGTACACACCGTGGGTCGATAGAATTCGGGCCACGGCCTCCTTCGGCGAGCAGCGGGGCTAGTTTCACGCGCGGTAGCAAAGGGAATCCCTTGGAGCGACGGGAAGGAACGACGAATGGAAAGAGACGGAACGGATCTACCCCCCCCCCGGTTTTGGTGGTGAGTGAAAAGACATGGTAAAACCGACGAGGAAGCTGCCACTCGTCGGAAAGGAGAAGAGGAACGACGAACGAAGGGAAGGAAAAACGGTCCCAGGATCGTGGAAGATCGTCAGGAAGAAGATAGAGAGAGAGATGAGATACGAGTACTACGGAGCGTCGAATAGAAAAGAGATTAGGGAGAAAAAGAAACAACAGGAGAGGAAAAAGGGGTGTACGCGGTAACGGTGGCGGTGGCGGTGGTGGTGGAAAACAGCGTAACGGAGCGGAGGCTGGAAGAAGGTGGTGGAGGAAGAGGAGGAGGGCATTGGTATTTCAAGAGACGGACACGCGAACTAGAAGAGAAAGATGAACGAAGAAGCAAGAGCGACTCTCGAGGCTGGAGCGACAAGGTACGACGGCAAAGGGGATGAAAGAGGGAGAGGCAAGGAGGGATAGGGTAGGCAGCACGAGCCAGTAAATAGGGGGATTGGAAAGAGAAAGAGAGAGAAAGGGGCTAGCGAATGGAGGAAAGAGAACGTGGATGCTGGGGTCGCTAGGCAACCCCCATGAGCCGCTCGAGGTGCACCCTCGGTACACCCTTATTGCCTTTCCAATTTTGGTGATTCCCATGCACCTATCCCCCTTGCGTTACGCGGACAACCGATACCGACTGTCAAGGCTCCGTTGCGAATCGGTCATTTTCGGTGAAATCGATAAAATTCTCGCGAGAAGAATCATCCGATGCCGTCCTGCCCGTTCGTCTGTTGATCCGCGACTTCTTCGAGTCATCGTGAGTACGCGGAAATATCCTCGACGTGCCAAACGAGCCTGAAGAATAATCGCTTAACGCCAGATTTTCTATCAAATCGCAACAAAATGATTCGTATAAATAACTTATACGTGTTCAATCTTACGATCGGCGAATCATTTTGAACGAAAGCTGAAATATAAATATCCAACTTTCAGAGGCTCAAAATTGGACAATCGAA